ATAACAATGTTTAAACGTTAAACCTAGATAAATGTGCACTGTATGTATCCAATAGTTTGTGTGGAGAGTGGAAGCTGAAGTGTGCTTTGCAGGACATAGAGACGCCAGCGCGATCACTTGCATTTTTTTTCAGTGGATACACTGTCATTTTTGCTCATAAAGGTAAGAGTAATGCATCATTCATAACTGTAAAGGGTCTACTTTTATTTGTGTGCACTCACAATATCAACAAAACGTTGTGCTTTTATAAAATAAAGAAATCAAACATGATGCGCTTTCTGCCGTCTCTTCTTCAACAGGAGCGCTTCACAAAAATGAACTGAAACTCAGCGAATACATGCCTCACAGACATGATAAATATATCTATAGAAAGCTTTAATTACTACATAATGAAATAAAACAAATCAAAAACTCTTTCATTATGATCCTAATCTGTAAAGATGCACTTATCTCTAAAGGCGCGTCTAATGAAGAGATGGCGAGTCAGGATAGTCATCTTCATCTTTGTTTATTCATACTAGTTTATTAGTAAATAACTCAAATATCTCCTTACTCTTTCCCCCTGACGCATTTATGGTAATTACTTTTGTCGATGCTTTGCGGCAAACTAAGCCTATTGCATGCATTTGAATGCAGAACTCTTCAGCTGCGCTGCTGCTGGACATTAAACACCGTCGAGCCGCTCTTGATAGTCTCGGTAGCACGGTCTCGTGCTGTTTCCATCAGCGTGGCAATCTTTTCTACTCACTAATCTCACTAATTGATGGATGTCTAAAATATAAAAATAAGGAGAAGCCTAAAACAGGCCCGACCGCATCTGAACTATGACGTGAAAATTGTCCCGAAGCCCGGCCCAAGGGCCGTAAAAAAGTCATGACCCATCGGACCCAGGCTGAAATGCAGGGCTCTAGCTCTGATCTAGCACACAGAAAACGATTTGACTGAAAATGTATCAGAAGAGATGGAAAAAAGATAGTGGTAATCTACGCAATTCAGAAAAAGAGGCGGCTTTTTTTTTTTTTACTCTTTGTACAGCAGTTATTGTTCATTCTAAATTTATTTTTTAATGTACAATATGTGTTACATAAATACATGAAATGTAGAACATAAAGTGCTCGTGGCTCGTCTGCCAGTGGGTGCCCCCCCACGCATAAAAGTGAAACTCCGCCTATGATTTAGCTGTTACTCCTTTCGAGCCGAATTTCACAAAATTGGGTGTTATTTATGGGGAGTAGAAATATTTATTTCAATGAATGTAATCAATTAGATATCATAATATTTAGGCTATAATATTATAAATCAGGTTGGTTTGTATTGCTGACGTAATATGTAAATGATATGTGTGCGGCCCACGAGACTTGCACTTGGACCATAGTGCGGCCCGGTGGAAAAAAAGGTTAAGAACGACTGGTATAGCATAAAGCTTTATATAAATAGTAAATATATAAAGGTGACTTGACTACAATATATAGTATAAATATGTTATTTTTGCATCCTTAATATACCATTATAGTATTTACTAATATTTTGAAATGTTTAATAATTTTGTTTGTTTTTGTTGTTATTAGTTTTTGTTTTCCAATATATATATATATATATATATATATATTTTAGTATTTGTTATTTTTATTTCTCTTAACACTTATCTGTTTGTTTATTTATCAAAATAAGAGGTATTTTTTTATTTCTACTTTTATTTATATATATATTTTTTAATAATCGTATTATAATTTAATACATTATTACAAATATCATCAAATATATATATATATATATAAAATTTAAATACTATTATTTTTAATAACAAACAGATAAACTAAATAAAATAAAATAAAATAAAAAAACAAAAAATATATAGCTGCTACATTTTCTCAATTCACCCTCCAAAACTCATCTCATCAGGCTATGAGCTCTCATGGTCACGTCTTCAGCTCTAGATTGTTGGCATACTCACTCTTCCTCGATCCCAACCGGTCGTCCGAACAGCATTTCCAGGAAACACTCCAGCAGACCCTGTGAACCCTGGTGCAGGTACAGCTGATTGGCCAGCAGTGAAAACCCATGATTCTTCAGGAACTTCTCCTTCTGCTCTTTCTGAGTGCGGCTAAAGTAGGCGTCCAGGAGCTACATGAATAAACGTACATGTTTGTGTATCCATGCATGTATGACATATTATATAAAACTAAATTAATTAAACCCATTACGCAACCTCCCCTCTTACCAGAGTGGTCAATAAAACTTGTGAATCAACTAACAAACCATTTTCATATCAGCTTAAATAAACAAACCAAAGCAGCAGATGTGATAAACAGTTATGGATAGAGAGATAGTGAAAAGGCCAGTCATTTTATTGTCCTAAAGAAAACTGTTTGCGTAATATTTTTTCATTCGTCCATAAACATTAAATTATCTACTCCTCTTGGGTTTAAATTTTTAGAAATTTCAAGGGGTCTTGAATTTATGTATTCTCCTAAAAATACTAATACTATTTGTAAAAAAAAATTAAATAAAAAATACTATTTTGTCATCACTAAATTAAATCTGTGAAGTGACTCACAAAATAATTTTTTTTAATGGACTCCTGATTTTTTTTTGCAATTAAGAACCCCCAAATAAGCAATTATTAATAATATTATTTAAACCACGAGTCGACTATTGACTGACACTGGTGTTTTAGCACAGACCCGCTCTAAGTGAGCTGTCATCAGTCCACCATTGTTTCAACGCCGGAGCAGATGTAGACAAGAATGGCTCAGAAGTGATTGAGGTGTTCTGTTGTTGGATGTAATAATGAACAAAGCAGTCGTCATTTGCTCCAGACATCTGAGCCGCTGAAGACGCAGTGAATTACATTTGTTTTTTAAGAGAATACGCCCCCAATCTACCTAAATGCATCTATGTTAGCGTGAATCATTCGTGATCCAGCTTCACCTACAGAAGAAGTGAGTGTAAGGCTCTTTTATGAATCTTTGCAAATCGCCTTTCCTAATAATGTGCTAGTTAGCAAGTTCCGCAGCTAAATGCGGCTAAAGTAAACAGTCTCATGAGTACGGCTCGTCACCCCACGGAAGAGAAGGGCAGGGTCAGCAGAGCTCATTAGCATTTAAAGAGACATGCACTGAAATGGGTCGCAGTGAAAAGAGCTGTTTTTGACAGGGTAAAAAGGTGTTGTTTTACACTACCATTGAGAAATTTTAACCAAAGTATGTTATAGACTTTTCATGAAGACCCTAAAGGATCATACCAACTTGTGGAAAATGGGCATCTGATGTCCCCTTTAAATACATTTGTACTGTTTATATGGATTAATCCCATGTTCACGGATTAATTCCCAATGATTCAGTCCTTCAGTCCATATTATAGAAAGAGATGCTCCACATTAATAAGCATAAAATAAGATATATTTGTATGGATGCAGCACACGAGAGTCTAATTGTTGGCAATGACGTGCCAAACTGTTTAATACCCTGAAATGTACTGTGGTGTGATCTAAAAACACACTGTATTTTCAATTGTATTATAAGTATTTTGCATGCAGTCTTCATGAGCTCATATAAACAGAGACTTTGTGGAATATTTGTATTTTCAAAAACATTTTTGTCACACTGCAAAACCTTTAAAAATGAACTAGAGAAGGCAAAAAAAGCAGCCATGTTCATTTGTCAAATACCCAAAGACAACTAAATGTGAGCACACCTTCATGACGCCCTGCTGTATGAGAGGAGAAGAGTGGTTGACCAGAACGAGAAGAGCCTCCGGCTGGACGAGTTTGTCCATCACCTCCTCCAGCAGGAGGTCCGGCAGCAGGAGCAGAACTCCTCTCAGCAGATCGTACAGACCGCAGCAGATCAGAACCAGACAGTCTTCAGCACTGGATCTGAATGATTCAGAAAACACTCACATGAATCATCACTGTGAAGAGGAGAAACATCAGATCTTCAGCTGTGACTCAGAGCCTGTTAACCAAAACTTTCAGCATGCAAAATACACACGAATCTGTCACAAAAATAACTACAACGTTCCCATAACAGAAATTACTCATACTGTGATATCAGTACAAACAAAAGGGAAATCAATATTTGATAGACTTGGATATAAAAGCAAAGTGTTTCCCAACAAGAGCACCAATGACAGCTCAGACACATCTGTAATGCCGAAATATGGTTTGTGGATAGGAGCTCGGAGTTTAAAGTCGTTAACATTTAATGAGTTTAAGTGATTATACAGTAGATGGGATATATCTTTAGTGCAGGAAAGGCAATGACGAAGACAGGAGGCAATTATCCAGTAACTGTTGACTGAAAGAGCACATTAAAGAGATGATGTAACTTATAAATGAAGGCTAATATTACAAGTCATTCATCTCCAAAACTCAGCGGCAGAAATTAGCATAATTAAAGAGTGTTATTCATCGCACAGAATTTAATATATATCACGCATATCTAGAACAACTAAACACATTATACAACGCATTTGAAAAAGGCTAAATGCTTCTGAGGTGTTTCAATTTGCTCCCTAGTTCAGTAGTAAGCACACTACCTAGGGACTCTACCATTTCTAAAGGTGTCCTATTGTCAAAATGTTTTTTCTTACTGAAGACAGTTCCGTACAAAAAAGTCTACTTGCATAAAATATTTTGCATGATTTCACTGTAAATGCCAACTTGTTACAGATACTTGTTACACTAACTTAGAAAGCATTACAAACCATTTACAAGGCTTAAAAAAAAAAACTTTGCAGAAATGTCAGCCACTGCAGTTATGCATAACAGGGTTATTATCGTTAACAGAAACAACAACAAAACAACTTTTCGTTACTTGAACTAAAACAAATTAACTTAAATAACTTAACATTAACTGAATTTTTTTTTTTAAGTATTTTATTTCAGCTAGTTTAGTTAGTTGCCAAGGCAACATTTCTCATTTTCTTTTACTTTGTAAAATAAACTAAATTAACTAAAATGAATGAATGAAAATAAATAAATTAATAATAGTAATACAATTTATAATAATTTTAATTATTAAAATACTATATTAATATTGATAATATTAGGCTGTGTGTCCACCAAAGCGTTTTTTCCCCCGAGGCTAGCACATTTTTTCAATTGTTTTTAATGGGAGCGCCGCGTTGTTTAAAACGCCAGGTGTGTGCAGAATGCTGAGCGTCTTTTTGATTCATCAACTCTCGGCGCCAAGAAAAAAATGCCCGAGGACTCAGTGTGAAAAAGATGCTCAGCACTCTGGTGTTATTTCTTGGCACCGTGAATTGATGAATGTTCAACTTTGGGTAAAACACAGCGCTCATCACTGTCACTTTTTATTCAGCTAACCAATCGCAGTGAAGGAGGGGCGGGACTAATAACGACTAACTGTCACACCCTGCTTGTACTACAACTGAAGTTAATATTGCTTGTCTCCGAGTATTTATGCCTTTACCAGATTAAATTGCTGGACTATCATATTATTGTTATGAAAAATAATGCTTGGAGAAACATTTCATTCATGATGCGTCTGCCATATTACTTCAGTGGATATTCCTTATCTTAGCAACCACAGCGTCTCAACTGAAAAAAAACTTTTAAAAAACACGGTGCGCTCTCAAGCACTCACAGCCTGGGGTTTTCAGCTGGCTAAAAACGTTTTGGTGGTCAAGCAGCCTTAATATAAAATATAAATTAATATGTATACTACATTAATAATAATAATACTATATAGTCATTTTTAAAAAATAAAATAAAATGACAAAAACACAGCAAATTTTCTAAAACTTCAATTACGGCTAATATGAAAACAGAAAGGAGAAAAATAAAGTCTAATTCAAAATATTAAGATTCAGACAAAAATGAACAAAAACTACAATAGCATATCAATGATGCTAAAATAATCAAATGAGATTATCATGCGCATGTCGTCAGTAAAGACGGTTCTGTGATTAGTAGTAAATCTCCATCACGTGCTTTCAGATGCAGCGGTATTTAATAAACAGAGCCGCAATATCGCGTTCATTATCGCAGGCGATACATCGCTGATAATAGGGATGCACGATATTATCGGACCAGTATTGTAATCGGCCGATAATGGCTTTTAATGTAAATAATGTATCGGCATCGGCCCGATATGAAAAATTATGCCGATATGTCTTGCCGATAAGAGGAATACATTAACTCACATGTGCTCAGGGTGTGCTAGTGATTACATCACGTCAACAGTGTGGCTCATTCTTGAAGCAACGTTTTGCCTGAATGATGATTAGATTCACTGTTTTGGATCGCTGCATTTAAACTGAGAATGCAGTACAGAATGACGCGTTCGATGTGTGATATGGTAAACCGTAATAGCATGTGCAGCGGGAGCAGCGGCAGCCCCCCCCCCGATATGTCTTGCCGATAAGAGGAATACATTAACTCACATGTGCTCAGGGTGTGCTAGTGATTACATCACGTCAACAGTGTGGCTCATTCTTGAAGCAACGTTTTGCCTGAATGATGATTAGATTCACTGTTTTGGATCGCTGCATTTAAACTGAGAATGCAGTACAGAATGACGCGTTCGATGTGTGATATGGTAAACCGTAATAGCATGTGCAGCGGGAGCAGCGGCAGCCCCCCCCCCGGGTCCTAATGCCCATGCTGTAAGGAATTTTAATTCCAGAGGGGGCGGGCTGTTGTCCTACTTCTAATAAGATGAAAGCAAAATACACAAATAATTATTAGACTGTTTATGATTAAATAAAGCAGTAATTGATTCCATAAAATCATGAGTATGTTTTGATTTAAAGGTCAGAAGCTATAGCTTACATGAACAACAACAACATCAAAAAACTTAAAATCACAAACATGACACAAATTAAATAATTTTATATACAGTATACTGATTTATTCATTAATGTGTAATATTTTTAAAACTAATTATGAGCTCTAAAAGATTTTCAGAATAAAAGAGCTCTTTTGCTTTAGACCATTTACAAATGTTAAATCTTAAAATAAAATGTTAAGGTTACCACTGCATCTTTCTGAAATAAAAAATACAGTGACTGAATATAGTTTATTTATAGTTATTTTCAAATCTTAAATAAATAAATATATCGGTATCGGCTATCGTCCAAAATGAGTTATATGGGGATATCGGCAAAAATCCAATATCCCTAGGCGATAATGAACACGATACTGCATAGCTTGTCAGTGAACTATGGCTCTGTGTATTATTTGCACAGCCTTACACTAAAGTGAAATAATTTGGCCTGAAGTAGGTCTATTATCACGACAATATGAATATATAAAATACAGTATATATATTTTGGTTAATGACGACTTTTCTCATGTGGCTTGATCATAATTACTAATTACATTATGAGACATTTTCTGTTAATCAAAATGTCATAACTGGATCTTCCAGTGAAAAATCAGACTTCTCAAATAATTTACTGCGCATAAACTCCGCCTCTGCAGGCTCACACTCATCTGCATACATGTTTGAATGCCACACCCACATCTCAACATCCAAACAACAAACGATGCACAGAACCGAGGCCCTGTCCTACATTTTTGTTTCTCGATAATCCGTTTCACCTGGATGTACTTTTATCGTGTTTACAATGTTGGATACAATTTTTCTCTCTTTGCATGGAAATGCTAGGATTTCCAACAATATAAAATCATCTGGTATTTTCAAAGTACCTGTCATTACTGGAGTCCGCCTTGCTGTGTCTGTCATACCCGGGTGAGTAGGTGTAACTTTCCCAGTCGTCCGGTGGAGCGGCACGGTCAGCCACGGTGGGCCAGCGAGCGATAGTCAGAGAGCCGTTCTGTGCGGGAAAAGCCAAACCCAGACTGGCCAGGTTACTGTGGCTCCTCTGGAAGGACTGGATTCCCTTCAGGCTGTCCGGTCGGCGTGGCACTTCCTCGCTGGTCCAATTGAAATGGTCCTCAGAGTCCACCGGGCTGCTTGCTGGGCCGTCATGCTCCTCCTCTACGCTGATGGAGGGCGTTCGGTTTCCCGTGACGCTGCTCTCCTCATCACCACCCACGTTCTGAGAGTCGCATATTGTCTTTGCCGACTCACAGCTGCTGAGGAGCTGCTCGTCTCCGGCCCGCTTCAGGGTCACCGTGCTGCCCAGGGCATGCTGGGTACTCAGGGATGTCCCCTCAGGCTCAGTGGTCCCCATCACACTCCCATGGGTCAGACGGGGTGTCAGGGCCGGAGAAGAGTGCGGAGACGGGCCAATGCTTGGGGGCCGCAGTGACAGATCTTCATCACCATGCTCAGGGGAGGAAGTGTGGCGCACTGTGGGACAAACAAACAACATTTAGTCAGAAACTACGTTTTCAAGACAAGTTTGACAATGATAAGATTTTCATGTTCAGATTTGCCTATTCAATTGCTCTTTTTTCACAAAGCGTGATCTCTTCTTTCTCTGCTGCACGTTTTTTATATCATTGCCAAACATTAAATATATTATTGCCCAGTTCTTTATGAAACAAAATGCAAAATGTAACTATATTAATCACACAGCTCTACAGTATACAGCAGGTAAAATAAGTATTGAACACGTCACCATTTTTCTCAGTAAATACATTTTTAAAGGTGCTGCTGATATGAAATTTTCACCAGATGTCGATAACAACCCAAGTAATCCACACATACAAAGAAAACAAAACAAAACAAAACAAAAACGCCTCCTGCAGCTTTATACTAGTCACATGCATTGCTCAGGAGTGATTTTGGCCCATTCTTCCACACAAACTCTTCAAATCTTGAAGGTTGTGTGCCTCTTCTATGAACTCTGATCTTTAGTTCTTATTTTCTATTAGATTCAAGTCAGGTGATTGGCTGGGCCATTCTAGCAGCTTTATTTTCTTTCTCTGAAACCAATCGAGAGTTTCCTTGGCTGTGTTTGGGATCATTGTCTTGCTGAAATGTCCACCCTCATTTCATCTTCATCATCCTGGTATTGTAGGTGTTGGGACTGAACCAGCAATATTAATTTCCACTGACGAGGGGCAGGATTGCTTTCTAATTACTGATAGATTTCAGCTGGTGTCTTGGCTTTCCATGCCTTTTTGCACCTCCCTTTTTTCATGTGTTCAATACTTTTTCCCTGTGTCATTCCATTTTATTACACATAACTTTCTGAACTTGTTTGTTTTGTTTTCTTTGTATGTGTGGATTACTTGGGTTGTTACCGACATTTGGTAAAAATTTCAAGTCAACAGCACCTTTAGAAATATATTTACTGAGAAAAATGGTGATGTGTTCAATACTTATTTTACCCACTGTGTGTATATGTATATGTACATATACTGTATATATATATATATATATATATATATAAAACAATCTATATATATATATATATTATATCCAACTTTATTAAGTATTTCATATTATTATTAGACCATAGATTGAGAGGAAACTTTTTTTATAAAATTATTTTTATAATGTAAAAAAACAACTGCCAATTCAAATTCATACATTTAGATTTTTTCATCTTCAGAACAATGAAACATTTTAACTTGCAATTTTATAAAATAAAAGGAACATCATATTAAGTAAATATTAAGAAAATGTTAAACAAAATTACAAAATTAAGGATGAATGATGTTTGAGAGGCAACATCTTATTCTTAGCAATAGTAATAAAATAATTTTACATACAATTTAATAATATTAATACAAGCTATTTATCTTTAAAGGGGTCATATGATGCTGCTAAAAAGAACATTTTGTGTATTTGGTTTAATTAAATATGTTTATGCGGTTTAAGGTTCAAAAAACACATTATTTTCCACATACTGTACATTATTGTTTCTCCTCTATGCCCCGCCTTTCTGAAATGCGTCGATTTTTACAAAGCTCATCGTTCTGAAAAGCGAGGTGTGCTGTGATTGGCCAGCTATCCAGTGCGTTGTGATTGGCCGAATACCTCAAGCGTGAGACGGAAATGTTGCGCCCCTCACCATACTGTGATGCCCTGTCCGGCCGGAGCGACGAGACAAAACTCGTAACTTTTATAAAGAATATCTCTTTGGATTTGAGACTTTAGTCTTTGCAACTTTACAGATCTTCTTTATGCACCAAAAGCTTGTAACAGTCCAAAGAGAAAGGAAAACTTTAAATTGCATCATATGACCCCTTTAAAGAGTAACGGCGCACTGACGGGAGCAACACTGCGCTGCATGTAAGTTAATTTTGTCATGTGACACCACATTTATTTGCATTAAAGCCCCTTTTCTTGACAATAAGTGTTCCCAAAGTGTTTGCAACATTTTAAGTATCAACATAGAATTTAGGCACTAAAGTTAAAGACTTGAGAAACTGCACCAATAAATGCCATTTCCATCAGTTATATTGGTAAAAACTGATGGGCTAAACCCAAAAAAATCCTTGGATAGAAGCCTGGCTTATAAGGCATAAAGATATTAAGATAATATAAACATTATAATCATGATTTTCTCTAAAGCTGCTTTCAGATGAAGTATATTGTGAAGACCGCTATATACTGTAATATTTGACTTGACAGGCAGATCTGTGATGTAATTGATTTGTATTCATTAAAGGTCACGCGTTTCAAAACTTAACAAGGCGCAGCAGTGGCAAACAGTCAGACAAGGTCATTTCCAGTGAATAATGCTTGTAAAGTGCGACAGAATGAGTAAGCATGATTTTTATTTTTATTTTGACCTTCTCATGAATAACCGCATTATCCTCAGCGGACGGCCAGGAGTTAATGATTGTAAGTCTGCTGCTTTAATGTGACTGGAGGTGGTGCTGACCTCGGGGCGGCAGTAATGCGTTACCTTCGGCGGGCGTCTCTGTGAAGACGGAGGGAGAGAGTGAAAGCACAGAGCTGCAGGCTGATTTCCCTCCACTGCTGGAGTGCCGCAGGTACATCATGGACTGAACCTTCTCCTGGTACAGCTTACCATCTGATGAGAAAAAAAAACATGAACTAAAATGCTCTTGTTAACTGTCAAATCTACATCTCAGTACGATAACTAACAAAGAAGAATGAGCTGTAAACTCAATGCCAGACTACTGCAACAATAAAATGAAATCAGTTTAAAATGCTTAGTTTTCAGAAATCTCTTAACTAACATAAACGTGTTCTTCACATTTTTTTCTTTCGACTATCAGAATATCATCATCATTGCTAAGAAAGCTTATAAATACGGTTAGAAACCATATCTGATTTAAATTAGAATGCCACAAATGTCATGAGTTTGATACAATCTTTATATATAATGAACAAAATTTAGGGGGAAAAAAAATATATATATATATATATAATGCAAAAAAAATAATAATAAAAAAAAAAGATTCACACAATCATCAGGGTTATTGAAAACTATAACAGCAAAAACTGTAAAATAAAACTGAGATAAATATGTAATTATATACAGATATTATGTGTGTGTGTGTGTGTGTGCGCATGTTTTGTTATAATTGTATACTATTAATTAAAGACATTTATAAATAAAAGAAAACATTAACTGATTAAACAGCTTTAATGACTAAAAAGAAAAAAAAAAAAAGTTTTGGGTTTTAATTTTTAGTAACTCGCAATCCATGTACAGTAGATATGCTATTTATTAGCCATTTAAGAAAAACAGACAAATTAAGGTTAAAAAAATATTTTTTCTGTTTTAAAACCAGTGTCATTTTTCTTCTTCTGTGGATCAAGGAGGCAAAAGCAGTGTGAACATTCTGCTAAACATCTTTTTTTGTGTTCCAAAGAAGAAACAAAGTCATACCGGTTTGGAAAAATGCAAATGATGACAGAATGATCATAAACTATTGCTTTAATGACTCGATCAGACATTATTTTTTTGACAGGCTTGCTCACCGATGTGCAGAGAGAAGTAGAAGCTGGTGGGCGTGTGGCACACGTAAGTGTTGGTGGGGGGGTGAACGGCCAAGAGGAAATTATAGACCAGCCGCAGCAGGTCTAGGTCCGGAGGAGACAAGATTCACACAATCATCAGGGTTATTGAAAACTATAACAGCAAAAACTGTAAAATAAAACTTGAGATAAATATGTAATTATATACAGATATTATGTGTGTGTGTGTGTGTGTGCGTGTTTTGTTATAATTGTATACTATTAATTAAAGACATTTATAAATAAAAGAAAACATTAACTGATTAAACAGCTTTAATGACTAAAAAGAAAAAAAAAAAAAGTTTTGGGTTTTAATTTTTAGTAACTCGCAATCCATGTACAGTAGATATGCTATTTATTAGCCATTTAAGAAAAACAGACAAATTAAGGTTAAAAAAATATTTTTTCTGTTTTAAAACCAGTGTCATTTTTCTTCTTCTGTGGATCAAGGAGGCAAAAGCAGTGTGAACATTCTGCTAAACATCTTTTTTTGTGTTCCAAAGAAGAAACAAAGTCATACCGGTTTGGAAAAATGCAAATGATGACAGAATGATCATAAACTATTGCTTTAATGACTCGATCAGACATTATTTTTTTGACAGGCTTGCTCACCGATGTGCAGAGAGAAGTAGAAGCTGGTGGGCGTGTGGCACACGTAAGTGTTGGTGGGGGGGTGAACGGCCAAGAGGAAATTATAGACCAGCCGCAGCAGGTCTAGGTCCGGAGGAGACCCCAAAACCTCCTGGATGATTTTGACAAACGAGAGGCAGACCTCCTGCGGGATGGATGTCAGGTACTCATCTCGATGCTCCTGTATAAGTAATGATGAAGATGATGTTACAAAATGACCCACACACTGAACTATGATTGGTCTTCGTTCCTGCATTCTTTTCTTTCAGCATACCTTCAAGTGTTCGTTCATGTTTATTTCATGCAGTAACTAGTAGTAAAGAGAAGATCGGTTAACGTACCGCTTGCTGGTGCGGCTACAGTAATGTCACGCAACAATAAAGAGCATCAAAACCGCATTTATTGTTCGAATTTCTTTATTTAAAAAAAATAGCAGAATTTGAAAACTGAGACTTTGTTTCATATTAAAAATAACAACAAAGCTTATTGCAATAACTGGATGGTAGGAACACCAAAACTGAAAATTAATTTCCGGTTGAATATTTTCAGATGCCAAAATGTTGGTGCATCACCAGTTGATTCTCATGGACAGCTGACAGAAAACAAGACTCACAACCACATTTCAAAGACTACAATCTAAACTCATCAGACCTCATGTGTTTGTGCATGTAGTGAACGTCTCACCTGAAGCACCTGGCAGGCGAGCAGGAAGCGATGAACCACCTGGGCCTTGAGGAGCTGTCGAATGTTGAACATCTGCTGAGGATGATGCACCCGGATGAGGATCTCTAAAGCAGTCAGCAGCGTCTCCCACACACCACACTATACACACACATACAGCTGTCACAGTTAGCTCTCTATAAAAATAACCCAACTTATACAATATATGTTCTCATTCAAATGAGAGTGTGTACCTGCGCTTTGGCCCATATCTTCCAGTCCAGCAGTATTTCAGACAGCAGTCTGAGATCTTGCAGCACCACAGTGGATTCAGCATCCAGATGAAACTGTCCGTCTTCTCCGATCGTCAGGATTGACCTGCTGCAGCAGCCGTCCAACAGCGTCTGTTACACCATATGCACACAGTCACATATTTGCCGTGCTGTACCCTAAAATCAAACTCCAGTGGTATTCAAAAGGCTAAAACAGAGCGAGTATTTTTCAGACTGATTAATCTGATGCATTAAAGAAAACAAGAATATACTGAGAGAGGGACAAAGCAGTCTCACTGTAAGTCTCCATTACTGGTAACCACCAGCAGGGTGCACGGTTTAGTACAACAGCAGCACAAGCACACAGGTTTATTACGGTTAACTAAAACTAAATCCATAAAAAATCAATGTCACTTGAAATTTAAAAAAGTTAACCAAAATAAATAATTATTAAATAAATGTAATTAAGTTAATTAAATATTAAAAAACACATTTTATTTCAGTAACATTTCTCTTTTTTTTTAAGAACTGATTTAACATTAAAAGGAATAAATAAAAATTAATGAAATTATATAGGCTTTTTTTAAATGACAAAAACGAACAAAAAACACAGCAAAACCACTAAAACTTTCAAATAAAACTAAATAAAAAAAATATTAAAAAATAAAGATATAATTGAAAATGTTTATAAAAACTATACTGGTATTTCAATGATACTAAAATACTGGAACTGGTGATATACAGGTGCATCTCAAAAAATTAGAATATCATGGAAAAGTTATTTTCCACAAGGAGCGTAAGCCACAGAAGGTCATCGCTGAAAGGGCTGGCTGTTCAGAGTGCTGTATCGAAATATATTCATAGAAAGTTGACCGGAAGGAAAAAGTGTGGTAGGAATAGGTGCACAAGCAACAGGGATGACCGCAGCCTTGGGAAGATTGTCAGGAAAAGCCGTTTCAAGAACTTGGGAGAGCTTCACAAGGAGTGGACTGAAGCTGGAGTCAGCGCATCAAGAGCCATCACACACAGACGTCTTCAGGAAACGGGCTACAGCTGTCACATTCCTAGAACCAAGCCACTCCTGAACCAGAAACAACGTCAGAAGCGTCTCACCTGGGCTAAGGAGAAAAAGAACTGGACTGTTGCTCAGTGCTCCACAGTCCTCTTTTCAGATGAAAGTAAATTTTGCATTTCATTTGGAAATCAAGGTCCCAGAGTCTGGAGGAAAAGTGGAGAGGTACAGAATCCAAGCTGCTTGAAGTCCAGTGTGAAGTTTCCAGTCAGTGATGATTTGGGTGCCGTGACGTCTGCTGGTGTTGGTCCACTGTGTTACAGCCGTCTACCAGGAGAGTTTAGAGTTCTTCATGCTTGCTCTGCTGACAAGCTTTTTGGAGATGCTGATTTCATTTTGCAGCAGGATTTAGCACCTGCCCACAGTGACTAAACTCCTTCTAACTGGTTTGCTGACCATGATATTACTGTGCTTGATTGGCCAGCCAACTCGCCTGACCTGAACCCCATAGAGAATCTATTAGGGGTATTGTCAAGAGGAAGATAAGTAACATCCGACCAAACAACACAGACGAGATGAAGGCCACTATCAATAACGCAGTGTCACAGGCTGATCGTCTCCATGCCACGCCGCATTGAAGCAGTAATTTGTGCAAAAGGAGCCCCAAACAAGTATTGAGTGCAGAATTAAACCTACTTTGGAGATCTTGAACATTTCTGTTTTGTAAATCTTTTTTTGATTGATCTTTCAGAAAATATTCAAATTTTTTGAGGTATTGAATTTAAGCTGTAAATCGTAACCATCAGAATTAAAACAAAAAAAGCTTGAAATATTCCAGTTTGTGTGCAATGAATCTAGAACATAAGAAAATTTGCTTTTTTGAATTAAATTACAAAAAATAAAGAACTTTTCCATGATATTCAAATTTTTTGAGATGCACCTAGTTGAAAAAAAAACATGATATATAATATGCATCTAAATTTTTACATTTAAAATTTTTAGGAATCTTTGACAAACTAAAAAGCACAATAAAATATCAGGATATTCATACTGCTGCTTAATTTTAAATTGTCACCATAAAAATATTGCGAATATATAATGCAACAACCCAGATCATCACAGAATGAAAGGTTTTTGGCTAATTAACGACATCTGATAGGCTAAAACTCACCTTCAGAATGTGGTATCCCACAATGCACTTGGGCTTGATGAGAACCTGGTGAATCATGGAATAGCCGTGGTAACACTCCATCTCATGAGTGCGATGCTGGTTGTTCTTAACCAGAGACAGCAGCAGCTGCAGCGCCAGAGCTTGAGTTTTCTCACAGTCGCTCAACTCCACCGCCTACGAGAACCAACAGACAGACAGACAGAAAGAGATAGCGCAACGTGATTCAGTGTTCCTGCTGCTAAAATCACTGTATGTGTGAAATACATCACATAGTGCAAATGAAGTGGGCTGTGAATGTGTTTTCATGCTGACAATCTGGATCACAGTGTTATAACACACAGAACACAGGAAGCCTCGGCAAACAACACTTTAATAGTACTGCCTGCAAAACAAACATGATGTGCGCCAAAATGCCTAAACTAAACTAGATCCATCTGCACTAAATTATTTAATCATTTAATAAATGTCAGCTATTTGGCATCATACCCAAAGTAGAGCATCTGAAGCTATTTTAATTAGCACTGCTCCTCAATTATTACTTTTTTTTGACTCCGCATGGTTCACCCTTGTAAACTTGTAGCTGCTTTTCAACATACATGGTTTAGAAATGCCAATCATCTCGAAATTATGGAGTAAACACCACAAATTTCATGATTCTTTGCTGAAATGTCAAAAGAACAGTATTTATCTGAAACAGAAATCTTTTGCCTGTACTGTCTGTCACACAAAGCGAGGCTTTGATGTGACTGTCAAGAGATGTTTGAAGGATAATGTGAGGGAACACGGTGTGAGAGAGAATGTTCCGGGCCAGAACATGCAGACCAAAAATCCAATTTTGCCCACTTAATGAACAGTGTATTATCAGATTAACAGCAAAAAAAAAAAATGTGTACTGGAATATGAAGGAAAGACTGAAGATACCTTCACTAGACACTTTAAACCCTAATATTCAGATTTACTTTCAAACATTATGGCTTTCATTAAAAAGCACAGCAAACAGAGAGTCAGAGCTTTTGTGAATCCGCATTCAAAAGTTCACAAAAATGCAGTAAAAATTGCTGTATTTTTTCCATATGATGTTAAAGGGGTCAACTTTTACATGTTGTTTGAACTTAAATGTGTGTTGGCAGTATGACACACTGTAAAAATCCACCCAGCGCTTTATTTTTTTAATCTCGTTAAATCATTTCCCCATTCTCATATCAAGCCATCTCAGATGCCTGTCCATGTGACGTCACACAGACCCATGACCCTCCCACAATTGTTGATAGACACTAGTGTTTTACCTTAGACCTGCCCTGAGTGAGCTGTCATCATTCCGCCATTGTTTCACCGCTGGAGCAGATGTAGACAAGAATGACTCCAAAGTGATTGAGGTGTGTTGTTGTTGGATGTAATAATGAACAAAGCATCCATCATTTACTTCCGTCATCTGAGCCGCTGAAGATGCAGTGGATTATGATTGTTTTTGAAGGGAATATGCCCCCGATCTACCTAAATGCGTCTATGTTTTTCTTTCAGAAGAAGTGAGTACAAGGTTCTTTTATGAATCTTTGCAAATCGCCTTTCCTAATAACGTGCTAGTTAGCCAGTTCTGCAGCTAAAGTAAACAGTCTCATGAGAACGGCTCGTCACCACACGGAAGAGAGGGTCAGCAGAGCTCATTAGAATTGAAAGGAAAATGGACTAAAATGGCTTGCTGAAAACAGAGCTGATTTTACAGGTTGAAAAGGATGTTACACTACCATTGAGAAATTTGAACCAAAGTATGTTATAGACTTTTCATGAAGACCCTAAAGAATCATATCAACTTGTGGAAAATGGGCATTTGATGACCCCTTTAAGTGAAATGAAATATAGAAAAACTTAATCTTATTTTATTTCAGCTAGTTGCAAAGGCAACTTTCTCATTTTTAAGTACTAAAATTACAAAAAAATAAGTAATTTATAAAAACTACATAGACATACTTAAAAAAACGAGTAACAATTACACAAAAAAAACAAAAAAATAAATAAAGTGAAAACAGAAAATATGAAAATATAATTTAAAATAAAACTATAATAGCATATCAATGGTGCTAAAATAGCAATGAAATACAAATAAATGTTTTAATAAAAAAAAATTAAGAAATACTTTTAGCTGATCATATCTGTTATGTTGTAACAAATATTGTTTTATTGTCTTTTTCTTTTTATCTCTCCTGTTGAAAATCATCAATAAAAGGAGTTCAACTAAAAGATCTGGCCAACACATGAGCATTGTGTGTTTGTGTGCAGTAACGCAGAAGTGCAGAGACAGATTAACTCATTTCCACACGTTCCTGGTCTCTACTAGTGACGGATACGTAGACAAACACATACCCGCGCGAACAAGAAGACAAAAGCACCGGTGCCTCCGATCTTGTGCAGGACGCTGTGTAGGCCGAGAGCCTGGCAGGGCATCATGGTCCTGAGGAAAGGAGGCTCCAAGATGGAGCTCTGGACCTCTTTGGCACTGAAGGGCCGCTGGGAAGCCACCGCTGACTTGGCCTGGCCCTTCAGACGGATCACCGGTTCATATATGGTGTAGAGAGACGGCGTGCTGGGGGCATAAACTACTGCTAAACTCTCCTGTAAAAACACAAATGCACAGAGACAAAGACAAAGTTATTTTTCTTGCTCTGATTGAAATAAAAGTTTTCAATGTAGCATGTCGACTCTAACATTGAGATCACAGGATTCCTGTGAGCCGATTAGATTTGCAGTGTGAGAGCTGTAAGTGAAAACGAGTGGCTTTCCTAACAGTTCAGGAACTGACAGATTTGTTTGCTCTACGGTAATGAAAAATCAGGATGAAATGTTGTTTATTTGTCATTAAAATAATATCACAGTGGAAATATCTAAAACATAGGCTTATATATCTGATACAGGACATTCTTAGGCATGTAAATGATCAAAACTTTGCCGTTATTCCTGTCACACACAATCTAATCCATGCCTTCTGTCGTCTGATTGATAGTTTAGAGGTTTTTAATCAGATGAACACTTACTGGACTGAAGCAACTTCGCTTTACTTGATTATCCAGACATCATTTTATAGAAAAATCATGTTCTAATGTGAGTATCAAACATGATCATCAGGCTTTTGAGGTGTGTTTGTTTGTTCATCTCTCAATCATCATTGGATTGCATTGTTTTATGTTTTTAGCATTTAAATCTCATCTTACTAAGACATATTATTGGAGCTATAGAGTGACTGCTGGCAGTTATCATTATATGTAATTATCTGCTTTACTGTTATAAAAATCTCAATGATTTACATTACAAGCTTCAGAATTTCTTCAGAATCTTACTTTTTTGGCCATATAAATATCAGCATCTGCACCAAATTACATATTTTTATCAGGCTGTTTTTATGTCTTCATAGTCTCACTATCAGGGATGCAAACTCATCATGAGTGAAAAGGGTAATATTTTACACCCTTTATTATTATTATTATTATTATTTTGACTCTATAGTTGTGCAGTAAAATTCACTTTAAAGATTCAAATTTCATTCATGAAGATGACATGAAATAAATTATCTCCTGGTGGAAAACAAAGACTGATGAAAATGACATGAAATTACCTTTAATATCCAGTAGATGGCAGCAGAGGATCACTCATTAGCTCCTTTGCCATTTCCACTCCCTAGTTTTTGTTTGTTTGTTTGTTTTTGCACAACTTGCTTTTGGATTTATTACAAAAAGATAATGAAGTATAGCCAGAGCAGGAAGTCACATAGTTTAAAGTAGAGGTTGACCGATGTATCGGTTTTGCCGATTAATCGGCACCGATAGTTGATTGCTGGAACTATCTTTTATCGGCAAAAATCCATGCCGATTGTTTTCCGGGTTGCGTCCATTGCTGGAGCGACTGAGAAGGGTCTGCTCTTGTGTCTGTTTGGTGATTAAATGAACAGTTTTAGACTACTGCTCGTGTTGAACGCGACGCGTCCGGAGTGTGTGTGATACCGGTGAGTTCTCCTAGACTCAGCGCTGTGCTTTTATTTTGATTAGATAATCATCAAGTGTTCAAGAATAGAAGCAGATAAAGTGTGAGAGTATACATACAATATCCATATGTATATCATTTTAATGCTATAGCCTTTGTGTATATATTTAAAGATGTACATCTTTAAGCATGACAGTTGAAATGAAATGGTAACACTTTAAAATAAGAGTCAAATTGTAGCATTACGATTAATGAAAGCTGTGTAAGTATTGTTCTTTTTTATGGTATTTACTATTACTATTTTTTTTTACCACTACTAGTATGGTTCAGTACTGTTTTTATTAATAAAGCACTATTTTAGTTTTTGTTCAGTATCGGTTTTAAAACAATCGGTTAATAAATCGGTATCGACCAGTGTGGTCCAACCTAGCTATCAGTATCGGCAAAATCCACTATCGGTCAACCTCTAGTTTAAAGTCTCATGTCATTAAAAAAAATAAGTAAACAAACAAGCCCAGACACCAACAGCCTAGAAGGGTTAATTATTTTAATACTTAAGTTAATTTTAATGGTATTATAATTAAATAATGCATTAAATATTTAAACATTTTTAAGATTTAATTCAAAAACTAAATTTTTCAAACATTGAAAGGACTCATCAAAAAGAGTGCTCTAAGTTTTATCTTTAACTGTAGAAGCTGCTAAATATATTCAGTCAACACAGACTTGTTGCTGCTGTAGTTTTGTTACTCTGAATTTACTCCGCATCACTTAATGCACAGGTCTGTTTTGACATCGGCTTAACAGACAGTTCGTTCGGGCCATTCAGTGGTGAAGCGGAGGGTCACGCACTGCGGGGGGGCCCGCGATAACCTCCCTGTGCTGAGTTGTGGCGTACCATGTGTCAACTATTGCCAGAGATATTGTCAAAAGCATCAAATATTGGCAATATTAAGAGGATTTAGCATTTCCAATTAATGTAGGCCTGTTACATTCTTCTTATTATTAGACTTATTATTATTATTAGGTTACTTTTATTAAATTACAATTAATTTGCCCCGCAATAATGTCATAGCATAACGTGCTGTGAGGACAATAAAAGTTTAGGTTATTAGCTTACTCCTCACTGAATTAAAAAAAAAAAGTGTAAAAAAAAAAAAAGGCCTATTCATTTATACAATGAATTAAAGGCCTATAATTAATGATTAACACTGCTGTCATCAATGAAAATTAAGAGCAGCTTTATTTCAAGCACCGATTTTCAAAAACAACCTGTTTAACGCGAAATACGTTTCTTCTCATGTTTTTCACTATACGGGCCACAAGAGAAATATTAAGGGAATAATTTATGACAGTTACATAGCGTTATCAGCATATGTTGAAGTAGATTCGTCTCTCGTTGTCTCTGAGAGAATATGCGCCATTAATGCAGCGTTAAGCTTCGTCAGATTTTTTTACTTTCACTTTCTGTATAGTGAACTGACTGAGGCTAAGACGTTCACTGGCGTAACTCTTGCGCAAAGTTTGCATGTTGCTTGTGTGATATCCATTGGCTCGCGTTCACGGTTTAAAACCAAAATATTTCCAATACTGCGACACAGTACATCGTGTATACTTTCTTTTCATTTTGTTATAATGGGAAGATCTGCAAATGTGTACAACTACATAAACATGCGAAGCCAGAGCGTGCACATACAAATAAAAAACAAGCAGGACTGTTTGATAGCGGGTGAGTTCAAGCGGGTACAGAATTGAGATGGATCAACTCACCGGATCTACACGAATCACACAAATGACCCATTTTGAATTCAAAACAGTGAATTTCGCTGAAAAGTGACAAGTTTACATCCCTATATCAACACTATATTAGCTATAAAAGCCTGATGTATCAAAACATGATACTCAACAAAAAACAAATGCAAACTTGTTTTATATTTTGTCTAAAGATTTTCTTATTTTAGGTTCAATAAACTTTCATTTAAAAAAAAATAAAAAATTCTGACTATTATTTCATATATCAGGCTGACAGGGTTAATGTAATTCTTTTAATCTTGAGGCGAAATATCACCTGGGCATGTTATTTACAGGTTTCTTTAGATAAATGTGTACAATGCTTTATAATAGCACTAGATATTGTCAGAGAAGACCAGAAAAAAGAAGCAAATTCATCCATGAGGAATGAAGGTTTCTGTGACTTTTCATGTCATGAAAAAATGACTTTTTCTGATGGCAGCAATTATCGAGCATGTAATGCATTAGCATACGAACACCTGGAACAGCATGTACTCATAAAATCACAGCTAATTAAGATGTCAGTGGGTAAAACTGCACAGAAAAAAAAAACACTTAAGCAGGAAATTATGTAAAAATGGACAAATAATGTTGCCTGCTTTCGAGTGGCAGTGAAGGAGATAAACAAGCTATTGAACTGTGTCGCTGCCAGATACATTTGCATTAAAACCTTCTGGTGGAAAATGTGACATTCTGGAGAAAAAAAAAATTAATATTCATAGGTCCAGTGGCTTACAATAAGAGGTGCGATGTCGACGTCTGTATTCCTCATGAGGAGCTCTCGTATCTGCTCACACTGAAGACCCTCCTGTGTCACGTACTTGGACAGTGTCCCGTGAGGCTTGCCGTACTTGCAGGGCATGATGGAGGTGAGGTCAGGACCGCTGGCATACAGGTAAAACGCCTCCGCTGTGTCAATTCTGGAGCCTAAAACAACCAATAGCCCGTTTACTTCAGCACGCCATTTTTCATTTATGAAAACGTTATAAAAATATAGCCTAACTTTGGAAAAATATCACTGTTTATTACTGTATTGTTGCATATAAATGAAATGATTAAATTTTAATGAAAATACAGTAAGGGTGGAAAATATGCTTAGATTAATTTAAACGTGTCTGCGTTTTTTACATAAATATTGAAAAATAAATGAATATCATTTAAAAAATTAAAAATGTTTAAATGTTTTAGGATTGTTGTTGTATTTAAATTTATTTTTAGTTTTAATTTTAATTTTATTTTAGTAATGATACAATGTGCTTTTGTCAATTTTATTATTTTATTAATATTGCTATTTAGACAATTTATTTTTATTTTGTTTTATTTTATTTTTTTTCCAGTAATTAATGCTAGTGCACCAATTAAAAGTAAACATTTATCTTAGTTGACAAGGCAACATTTCAAATTTTTGTTTAAAGTTTTTGATCTAATGTTTATTTATATTGTATTTTATTTCCACTTTATTTAAATTAACATATGTTTCTGATAGTCATAATAGTTGCCATATCAGCTTCACAGACAATTACATGGCACATATAGATTCAACATTTACCAAATAATAAAATAAATAAAAATTTTCTAAAATTCTATTTTGGAAAAAAAAAAAAGACTAACCAATTTGTATGTACAACTCTATAAAAGATTGATTAAATTATACTTTTTGTTTTGTTGTTGTTTTTCTTTGTCCATTTTACAAAAAGTTTTCAAAATAAGTTTGTCCTGATAAAAACTGTTGTCTCATGACAAACAATTGGGCAGACCAAAAACATGTTTTACAGACAAGTTAGTGCAATGTTATTGACATGTCAACATTGTCATATCATATTGTCAACAGACAATAAAGAATAATAATAGAGCATGTGGAGGATGAAAAGCTGTGACCTAAAGACTAATAAACAAACACATTGAGGATGGCACTGGAGCATCTAACCACTGCTAACCAAAGCTGGACTGGAGCCATGACCTATTAGTAGCAACAGAAGGGCTATTCTGTTCAGAAAAGCATGTTGTGTGGAGGGAATGTGGAGAATTTGTGGCTCACGCACAGAAACCTCCAGCAGCAGGAAGATCCCACGTTACCAACAACAACACTTCCATACTTTTGTCAATTCACTGTTTTTTCTATTATTCATTTTAAATATTCTTTATAAATACTTATTTTTATTTATTTACACTGTTTTTAGTGCTTCAACTTAAACTTCAGTTAGTTGCCAAGGCAACATTTCAAATTTTCCATTTAGTTTAAATTTTTCATCTAATGTTTATTTTCAGCTGTCTTTCACTTAACAAATATGTTTTTAATCGTTTTAGATTTAAATACAAAAAATCGGATTGTTCTGACGAAAAACAAAAACACTGTAGGGAAGGTCTTATGGGAACTGGTTTCATACCATTAAAGAGCAGCAGCGTGCCCATATCCCAGCGTGCACTTGGGCTGGCCTGCTCCTCTGAGGGGTGCTGATAGTGTCCAAGCATACAGTAGGTCTTATTACTGTCCGATGACAAACTGGACTTCCTGAGCAGAGTAAAGTCTAGCGAGACGTCACACTTCCTGTATGTAGCACAGGAAGGCTCGATTAAAACATGATTCTGACTGCATGAGGAACTGATGCCTGCAGCCCTGGTTGAACTGTCCCTTTAAAACGTCCACCAACCAACTGCAGATGCAGACTCACCTAATGCCGCCCACCCAGAGGGTCAGCTGACCGTGGATGTTCTTCTTGCCCTCGGGCTGCTGTGAGTACGTGAGAGCCAAGTGCTGCCACCTGCCTGCTGTCAGCACACCATCTCCAGACTCAGCCTGGGCCAGCAAACCCGCCTTCATCTCGTCGTTTGGATCGATGCAGATCCTGAACTCACAAATCAAGAGCCACTTTAGTAATATAGCACTGAAAACATTGACTTTTTGTGGCTTGTGCAAGGAAATGATCCCAACTTTGCACAAATAATCTTTCCATGAGCACATACAATGACATCTCCAAGCCAGTATTTTCCTTGACTGTTTTGAATTAGATTTTAGTTACATTTTCAGTTTTCATTACAATTTTAATTACATTTTTAGTAATTTTATTATTATTTTTAAATATTACTTTAAGTTTTTATTTCAGTTTCATTTTTCAGGTAGTATGTTGGAAACAAGAAGTCTAAATCTAAAAAAGTTTTTTTTTTTTTTACAAATTTTTAATGAATTAGTTTTTTAGAAACTTTTTTATTACTATTTTAGGTTTATGCTTATTTCAGTTTTAGTTATGTTGGAAAAGAGAAGCCAAAATCTAAAAAATATAACTTTTTACCCAACACAAAACAGCATTCACAACCTATTTTCTTTCCAAAACACAATTAAGAACATTTTTCCATAAGAACTTGATTAGATGGTCTAAAGTGGTGCTTTATACAATAATGGAGTTATAGCTGAGTGACTTTGCAGTGGAACATATACTGGCCTCATGAAACACTACTGTCATCCACTTTAGAGGAGTCTTTTTGAGGGAAAGATGTACTTGGTGCAACTTTGCAGTTTTTGCACTCACCTGAAGGTAAAGGCTCCGGTGGAGATGTTCACCCACACCTGAAGCATCAGTGCCTTAGAGCCCATGGAGAGAACATGGAGGAGGCATCTCTCTGTCTGCTGCTCCGGGACATGAGCGGGACCATGCAGGGCCTCCTCTTCTGCAACACACAGCCAAACTAACTCATCAAACCTATTAGATATAGTGTGATGATATTCATGTTTCAGTGTTGTTACGGTTAACTAAATCTAAACCTATTCAAAAAACATTTTTCGGTAACTGAATTAAAGACAAAATTTATACAAATAAAATATATTTTATATGAAAAACTTAGAAATCAAAAATGTTGCCTTGGCAACTAACTGAAAGAAATATGTTTAAGCACTAAAATGACTAAAAATTTAAATAAAAAATAAAAAATCTAATAAAATAATAATAATAATAATACAAATAATAATAATAATAAAAAAATAAACAACAGAAGAGCACATAACATTTTGTAAAATTTAATTAAGAATAATAAGAAATATTGTCTGTAAATGAATTAATGATTAAATAAAACAAACATCATATGAAAAACTAAACCTTAAAAAAACTAAAATGTTGCCTTAGTAACTTACTGGAATAAATAAGTTAAAGTTGAAGTACTAAAATTATGTAAACCTAAAGAAAAATATAAATAAATAATGAAAATGACAAAAGCACATAACAACTAGTGGTCGATATTTTTTCAAATATCGGCAACTGCTGATAAGTTTTTCTGTTTGGCCGATGAGTTCAAGGCGGCACCTTTATTTTGACGGCACTGCCTGAGCACACAGTGTTCACATTCTCCTTTTTGGCTGTCATCGTTACCCGTTCTGTCTAATACGGACAGAAATCTGTCTAATAATCAGAAAGAACTGTTAAACAAAGGAATTAAAATGTATACAAAAAAGTATTATAGCGATTGCTTTTATATTATTAGTTATTAAAAGGCAAACATTATAATACTTTCTCGGTTTCCGTCAGCATTTAGCAAATACGCATTTATATCATTTAAACAAATCTTTGAATGACTAATGAACAATTAATTTCAAAAATCTTGCAAACTTAGTCGGATCCAGCTGTGAGATCTTGTGAAGTGTGCATGTGTATCCTGCATGATCGCGTGTTCTCTGCGTGACTTTCGGTCCGTATGAATTGAATGCTGACAGGAGGACAGTTCAGCTTCACCAGAGATGCGCAATCGACAAACTTAAAACTCATGATTTCTAATTATGCTGCGCTTCATGCTTTTGCCCACTGCCATATTCATGTCATTTTCACTGTATGCTGTATGTAAAATGAGTGTTACCTTAGCTTTATTTGAAAAAATATGATTCCCAATGCACACAAACTTCCCAGAATACTAAGTGCCCTGTTGGTTACAGTGTTTACTTCTTTTTTAATTATATTTTTATTAAATATTTATTTGTGAAAAATACTTTGTCATTTAAAGTATAAAGTTTATTTTACAAATTAATTTTTTTATCCATTTTCAAATAAAAAATGTCTTAAATATTAATTAAAATAAATAAAATGATGCATTTTATAACAAATAAAATTTAAGCTCAAGTATTAAAATTACTACAACTGAAATTAAAAATTTAAATAAATAATAAAAAAGATTTTAAAAAATCACAACAATATTACTAAAACAAATTAAAATGAAAACTGAATATACAAAATGGCAAAAATAAAAGAATTCAAAATATCAATTCATACTAAAATACTAATCAGCATTATTACATATATAAAGCGCTTCTTACCCTTCTTGTAACGCCTGTCCTCATCCTTCCCCGCTCGTACCCACAGTGAGGCACTGAAGCCACTCGCCATGTGAGGCCAGCAGTTCTGTCCCACCAGAGGCAGGTGGAAGGGTGCCGTATGCCAGGGAGAGCTGCGCAGATGACCGGGCCTGCTCAGGTCTGCTTCACCACGGCCCAGGGGTAATTTACCCCTCAAAAGAGTGTTTACTCCACCCTTACCACCAGCTGTCCCATGAGGCCTCATCCCAGGGGAGGAGCTCAAGCCAGGGACCCCTGCGCCAGGGATCATGGGAAAGGACATGAAGTAGAGTGGCTCTGTGTCTGCATTAGCCTCCACAATCTGAAGCAAGCCTCTCAGCAAGATCTCCTACAGATGATGGAAACAAAATAAAGATTTCTGCATTTCACAAAGAAAATATTAGCGTTTTTTGCTGAGTTTGCAAAATTTGAGGTTTTATTCATATCAGGGTTTCCCATACATTTATTTGTGGCGGCCTACCACAATATCCACATTGACTGCCACAAATATCCACCTCCCCCTGCCATCAGCTTCTGTGTCTCACACACACGAGCGCGACTTTAGCACTTTATTTACCAACTTTCAGACCCTTATAGTGGCTTTTTTCCATAACATACTGACAAACCTAGCGACTGTTTTGGATAAACCTTAGCTTTCGTTTAGCTGGGAGATTTCGCCAGTACTGCTCCGCGAGCAGCAACAGACTCCTCAGTAAATGAGTACAAAACAGCATTTCCAAGTGTATATATATATTAGGGATGTATCGATATCAAAATCTCACAATACGATAATATCTCTAATATCTGTATATTGGGCAGCAAATCAGCATATTAGAATGATTTCTGAAGGATCATGTGACACTGGAGATGATGTTGAAAATTCACCTTTACATCACAGGAATAAATTACATTTTAGAATATATTCAAATAATAAGTAGTTATTTTAGGTAGTAAAAATATTTCACACTATTACCGTTTTTACTGTATTTTTAATCAAATAAATGTAGCCTTGGTGAGCAGAACTCAAAAAACAATCCACACTAAAATGTGCTGCTCAACATAATTCAATCTTCACAAATATGACCTATTGACAGGTTTTGTGAAATTCACACACTTTCTATTAGCATTGACACACCAAAGGTTGGCATTAGTAAAAGCACATTCTGCATCAGCATGTCCACTTTCCGACACGGTGTTAAAAATAAACCTATTTCTAGGGTGTTTGATCACACTGATCGCATTTGCATTGTGTAATTTCAAACCCTTTCCTTTACTCTGGAAAGTGGGAAGGGTTGATATAGTGTTTTTGGCCCACAATACCTAATTGAAATGCTATGTGAGGTTGCACTTACAGTGGGCGGAGTCTTTTCCAGGAAGAGGCGTGTCAACAGGGCGAGTTCCTCCGATGTCATCCTGTCACTCACCATGGCAACAAGCAGCTCCATCAGTATTGTCTGGCACTCTGCATAGAGCAATTAGAACAATGTTTAAGGCTAATTAACATGACTTAGCATGAACAGCAAAACAACATTTTTTTTAGTCACCATGAAATTAAAATGGAGAATTCCTTTCTTTCTTTTCTTATTTTTTTTTTAAATTGCAGTATTTATTATAAATTGTTCTATAAATAATTTATCTGTGCAGCTCACTATTACTATTTTTAATTCATGTGCCCTCGTTATCAAAAACATTAACTTCCTAATAATCTCAACTATATAAAATCATAAATTATTTATAAAGAATTTATTTCTAAATTCTTTATATTTATAAAATAATAATAAAATAAATTTTTATAAAATAAATGTGTATTTCTCACATAATATTTATTATATTAATTTAAGTAATATATAATATTAAAAGAAATATATGTATATTTAAAAAATCTGTATAATTTTTATTTGTTGTACTGCCTTTCATTAAATTTGAGTTTATTTATTTATTTTTTTAATTCATTGTATTGCAGTATTTTTTGTGTAATACAGTAAAATACTGTAAGAAACCCCTTGAGAATAATGCGAATTATGATTAAACTCAAAAGTATTAAGACAAAAAATCTGGGCACAGTGCAGTTGCATGATAATTAGAGGAAATGTGCATAATTTAAGTATAAATAATATACACCTTTATAGGAGGCATCTGATTGGCTGAGAATGTTCTGAAATCCAGTGAGAATAGCTTTCACACCACCCTGACAAGAGAAAAAGAGCATGACGGATCACATTTCTTCATAAATACAGTAAAAATGATTTAATCCAGCTCGCCAGAGTGTGCAAACCATTATTGACAAGGGTGCAAAGCAACAATAAATCACAATACTTCATAAAACCTATAAAGATGTCTCCAATAAAAATCATAAAGAGCTTTCAAAATGCAGCTGCAAGGCTTCAAATCCAGACTCTTCTTTTAGAGCTAAAATAACAAAAAATCTCCAATTCTCAAAGGTTTGCATAAGGTCATATTGCTCCTGCTACATAGATTCTTTGGTTTCATGTATACTCTTTCAACTGGTTATTGGAACAAAACTTTCTACCAATTGAAGGTAGGTAACATAGACAAAAGGTCTTCTGGAATAAGATATGTTCCTGTGTAGCATTAATATGTAATCGCATACATAAATAAATCAGTTTGGCATGAGATAAGAGTCTGACCTGCTGGTAGAGCAATGCTGCGTTGTTGTGGTGGCCTTTCACGGCTCCTAACAGGCTCTGCAAAACATGGCCCAAAACCTCCAGGTCTGGAGAGCCACTGGCTAACAGCTGTAGCTCCATCAAGCAGATCTCCGGGAACAGCAGACGGCCGTGGCCGGAGCCCTGAGGCACTCCTGCCATTCCTAACGTACATTCCCCCGATGAGACTCCAGCCTCCACCTTTATCCCTGTCACAGGAAGACAGAAGACAGACTATAAACAACACAATAATAATAATATAATAATTGGTGCTGCTGCAAGAGTACATACAGAAGAACTGAAGAGCAAGTACTGTATGTACAGAGGCTGCTCACAGCGCTCAGAGCTCCAGCTCAGTAAAATGAATTAAGCTGATGGAGGTGCCACAAATCGGAGAACCCACATGATTTAACTGTGGACTACCCTGCAGCTCCTACGCAAAATCATTGTATTGCAGTATTTTTTGTGTAATACAGTAAAATACTGTAAGAAACCCCTTGAGAATAATGCGAATTATGATTAAACTCAAAAGTATTAAGACAAAAAATCTGGGCACAGTGCAGTTGCATGATAATTAGAGGAAATGTGCATAATTTAAGTATAAATAATATACACCTTTATAGGAGGCATCTGATTGGCTGAGAATGTTCTGAAATCCAGTGAGAATAGCTTTCACACCACCCTGACAAGAGAAAAAGAGCATGACGGATCACATTTCTTCATAAATACAGTAAAGATGATTTAATCCAGCTCGCCAGAGTGTGCAAACCATTATTGACAAGGGTGCAAAGCAACAATAAATCACAATACTTCATAAAACCTATAAAGATGTCTCCAATAAAAATCATAAAGAGCTTTCGAAATGCAGCTGCAAGGCTTCAAATCCAGACTCTTCTTTTAGAGCTAAAATAACAAAAAATCTCCAATTCTCAAAGGTTTGCATAAGGTCATATTGCTCCTGCTACATAGATTCTTTGGTTTCATGTATACTCTTTCAACTGGTTATTGGAACAAAACTTTCTACCAATTGAAGGTAGGTAACATAGACAAAAGGTCTTCTGGAATAAGATATGTTCCTGTGTAGCATTAATATGTAATCGCATACATAAATAAATCAGTTTGGCATGAGATAAGAGTCTGACCTGCTGGTAGAGCAATGCTGCGTTGTTGTGGTGGCCTTTCACGGCTCCTAACAGGCTCTGCAAAACATGGCCCAAAACCTCCAGGTCTGGAGAGCCACTGGCTAACAGCTGTAGCTCCATCAAGCAGATCTCCGGGAACAGCAGACGGCCGTGGCCGGAGCCCTGAGGCACTCCTGCCATTCCTAACGTACATTCCCCCGATGAGACTCCAGCCTCCACCTTTATCCCTGTCACAGGAAGACAGAAGACAGACTATAAACAACACAATAATAATAATATAATAATTGGTGCTGCTGCAAGAGTACATACAGAAGAACTGAAGAGCAAGTACTGTATGTACAGAGGCTGCTCACAGCGCTCAGAGCTCCAGCTCAGTAAAATGAATTAAGCTGATGGAGGTGCCACAAATCGGAGAACCCACATGATTTAACTGTGGACTACCCTGCAGCTCCTACGCAAAATCTGGGTGCTTTTCATTAATGAAGTTCTGCCTCACACACACGCACACAAACACACGCGCACACAGAGCACTCCCTCACAAACATACATTGACAGACACAGACAGACAGACAGACAGACAGATAACAGAAAGATATAACAAACAATCGAATGATAGATAGAGAAAGATAATGATAAAAAACAATGGAACAATAGATAAACCAGGGGTTCTCTACATTCCAAGGTCCGAATCTGAATTCTCAACAACGTCAAAAGGTCCAGCATAATTGTTTTTAATAAACATGCTTATAACTTTATAGAACAATTCAACTTTATATATGCTAATTATTCTTTAACACTAACGTTCTCTATTCTATTTACTTTAAAAAAACAATTGCTTCTGTTGTCCTCATTTGTAAGTCGCTTTGGATAAAAGCGTCTGCTAAATACCTAAATGTAAAATGTAAATGTAATTATCATATTCATGATTTTCTGTTTCTGAAATAGCACTTCAATGTAACCTGCAGTCACTTCAACTGAATTGCTAAAATCTTGAATTATAACAGCAATATGCTGTTATACAGCAGTGAATTATATTACTTTATTTTATATATCAAGCACCACAAACGTCCGTCTGTGTAACAAACTATGTGCATATTTACAGACTACATTAGGGCTGCTCGATTATGACAAAAATCATAATCACGGTTATTTTGGTCAATACTGTAATCACGATTATTTAAAATGATTATTAGTGGGCCATATGACCAAAACTTTATATGATAGATATATTTAAAGATAGTGTTATATATCAAATATATATTTTCTGTAAATAAGGTTGCTATGACATCTACATTTTAGAGACCAGCGAAATGTCACAATTCTCAATACCACAGCAGAATACCAGAGTAACTAATAATAGTTATAAAAAATAAAAAAATAAAAAAGTCCTCAATTATTGAAAATAATAAAACTGCCAGTAATAAAAAAAGCTAAGGAATACAATGCCAGTAATAAAAAAGCAAAAGAATACAATAGAATAAAAAATATACAAATGAAACAAACTGCGCTTTAAGTTTTTTAATGCAAGTCTAAAGTATTCAGTTAACAGCCTACTAGAGAAATTGAATAACCTAATGTAAAATAAAACAGCATAGTCTTCACTGTAAGAATTAAACTTTCTTTGTTTCTTATTAAAGCTACAAACGTCCTTCAGTCAAGAGCAGTGTGTGATTTTGTCTTTGTCTTTTGTTGTTTGATTAATATTAAGCACACAGTCGCAGCAGGAATATAGCCCGCCATAACTTTAAGAGCCGCACGGATACACAAGTATTTCCATTCTCAACTCTTTACATTAATTTATTATATAACCGATGAGGGTATACGTGAATAATCACTAAGCTCCGCATTCTGACACATTTTTGTGTGTATTTGACCGTTTAGGTGCTAAAAGATGACTTTATATGTCCGTGTTGTGTTCCGTCTCTGAGCGCATGCACAGTAACGTTAATCTTCCAGAGGAAGCGCAAGTTCTCTTTCACGCTTTTAAAAACATAAATAAATCTAATCAACTTAAATAAATCAAGCACGTCCCGTTTTGCAAAAGTCTCGTTACATGATTTTACTGATTTGCACGTGAAATTGGGTTGCAATTTCCGCTGGAAAGGTGGCAGAACGGGACGCAATAATAATTTTTTCTCGATTACTGTATTTTCATAATCGTAGGAGGCAGAAATCGAAATCGAAACTGAATTTTGATTAATTGCACAGCCCTAGACTACATTCATGTTCATATGCCCAGACAATCGACAGTGATAGGTTTTTGGAAACGCTGATTTGTACTTATTAATTTACAAGTAGGGCAGGGTATCGAGTTCGATACTTTTTAGGCACCGACCGAATTGCCTCGATACTATCGAGTATCGAAAAACGTCTCATCGGTCTGTACCAAATTTCGATACCTAAGGGATTAATCTCATCAACGTCAGTGAGGCGCAGATCGATCAGTGTTTGACATCCGCAAGAGCGATGCGAAAACGTACGGAGCAGTCTTCTCGTGGTATCTTACTATAGCCTAATAATACACCAATAGGTCTGCACAGTCGGTCCGCGTCACGCGCCACACTCAGAGATGTGGCTCACACATGAGGATTTAGTGTGAATGGGTCCCAGCCCCCGTAGCTGTAAGGCTACATTTACACTGGTGCGCTTTTGTTTTAAAATTAAAACGATCCTCGTCATACTGACGTTTCCACTGTGTTTCAAGCCGGCTTTCCACTATCTCTGACAAATGACAGATGGAAAGTCATCCATTTCCAATGGAGAGTAGCGCGGGAGCTGTGTAGAGTTTCAATCATATGCAGATGTCCCTTCATACTACAAGACTGAAAGCGCGTGTTACCTGACCATTCATGCACACTGTAGCATCATGCGACATAAGACCAGGGTTTAAAATGGGTCGGGGGATGTCTGGGGCTCAGCCCCGGCACATAGACTCCAGGGCTTGACATTAACACGTCATTAACGCCAGACAAGTAACATGATTAAAACATCAGTAACCAAAAATAAATATGTAAACACTAAAACGCAATATTATTCTGATTGTATTACATTTAGAGTAAGTGGCGAATAGTGGATATCTAATGTATATAATGCATCAATTGACAGAATAAGGTTGCGCTGCTTGAGGTGAGGCTCCCGCAGCCTCTCCAGGAGAAATCAAAACGCGCAATACTAAGAAACTCAGCATCCTGAGGTGAAAATTCCAAATGGAAAGTTTTATAGTTAAAATACAGTTAGTTAGGCAACATCACACAGCGTTTTCACCATTACGACTGTTTAATAGTTCTATAAACAGTTCAATAAGCAAATACAATAATATTAGGTCACTTACATTTTAGGGTTACATCATTTCCACCATCATTTCTTGTTTGTATATAAAAAAATATTTAAAATAATTATTTAATGCAGTTGTATTTTTCAGTGTCAATTGAATTTATAGATCAAATGTAAGAATTTGAAATGAAAGTATTATTTAGATTAGTGGGAATAGAATAAATCATTTGCACAAAAAACAGAACACACACACACACACACACACACACACACACACACACATACATATATATATACACGTATAAGCTCGATACCATAGAGCCCCCCCGCACACATAACAAATCCCAATTTAACCCCTGCATAAGACAATAAATAAGATTTATATTCCGCTTTTACTCAAAACTCACTTTAAACCACCATCAAGTTTTTGTAATAACTTCCGATTGCCGTGTGTGTTTTGGCCATGTATCATTGATGAAATTAAATATATTATAACCTCTGAGTCAGAGCAGCGATCATGGAAGAGAGAGCACAGGCAGACAGCGCTAGAAACTGCTAATGCTCATCAGTAAATCAGTAGCAAATGAATAGAAATTCAGATTCTGTCTGAGCTAGGTGATTCTGTCACACGCACTAGTGTAAATGTAGCTAACAGATGTGTAAACTGAAGACTATTTGAGCTTTATTAAAACTATTTCCACTGATTTTTTGTTTGTTACATTTTGTTCCTTTGTGCAGTGGCTTTGAGTCTGTATAAACATCTACAATCTGAAAAATAAAACCAAAGTTTTTTTTTTTAGATAATGTAATCTTATTTCATAAATATTTTCAAATAGATTTCATAAAATTGGTATCGAAAAAAGTATCGTTCAGGAACCGGTATCGAAGTCAAGGTATCGGTATCGATATTGAAAATATTTGAACGATACCCAGCCCTAGCTGCAGTTCGGTCCGTTGAATGTGCTGCAAACTCTACCAGTCGAGAAAGACGAGCTGCGTCGGGAAGGAGAAACCTCGCGCTCGCGGGACGAAACCGGTGACATTATTCTACTGAATGAAACCTAAAGTTGATCCAAAATGTCGCTAGTTGCTATGCGCTTTAGCTTACAAAAAAGTCAGTAAACACTGTGCTTTGCCTTCAGTTCCCTCCATTATAAATTAGATCAACTACAGGCCCTCGTGCAAAAGCGAGTGATCTTACAAAATCACACACATATCTGTGTACGTAATAGACTGGTCAAAAGCTGCAGTCACAAGACACGGCTCAACACGGTGAACTTACATCATAGCCGAGGGAAACAATGACACCATTCTCAGGGCGAGAGAGACAGCGCTGCATGTGACTAGAGAACAGGATCACGTACCGCTTGACCAGAATTTCACTCGTCCTACCTGACACTAACCGGCTCAGACCGGCTACCGCATTCTAGATCATTCTAGAAATTCCCCCTGCTATCAGTTACTATGCACTTTTCAGCCTGGCTAACTGTGATGATAATTACTTTGCACTTTCATTTCAGGATGTTAACATTACAATAACAAGCCTTTAAAACTAACAAACTACACAAGATACTTTTGGCTGTAGATAATATGCACATACACTCTACATTTAAACACAAGTGACCAGCACAATGCAGACTCTCATGTCAGTATAAATGGGTGGTACTACCTTCCTCCTGACGGGTGGAGTCCTCAGGGTTACTTTCACTGTCTGCCTCATAGCCTTCCTCTTCTCCCAAGGGTGGAGCGCCACTCACCTGAGCTTCATCCACCTCCTCTGACAGATCACCTGCTGGAGGTGCCACCTCACTGCTGACCTGAGACTTCTGCGCAGAGGGACAGAAAGACCAGTATTAGATGGAAGGATGGATTAGAATATTAAATAACACAAAGAGAAATTTAGAAATAATAAAACAGATTAAACTGTAAAATTTATAATAAAATATTAAATGTATTAATATGATTATTCAAATATAAATATACTCCTTTAACAATAATAATAATAATAATACAAGACTGAGAGATGCTAATACTACAAAACAAATATACATAACAAATATATATATAAAACAATATAAATACAATTTATAGTTAAATATTTAATATTTTAAATAAAACAGTTTTAACATTATTATATTATAATAAATTATAAATATTTAATCATATATACTTAATTATATTACTACTAGATAGAGGGATGAATTATAAATAAAATAATATAATGACAAATTAATGGATAAAGAATTAAAACATTGCCATAATTAAGTATAAAATTGTAAATATATACACACACTTTATTTATTGTTGTTGTTGTTATTACTAGATGGAGGGATGGAATTGTAATTAAAATAATATAAAGAGAAATCAATTAAGAAATAATCAAAAATAAAACAAAATTATCAATATTATTATTAAACTATATTATGTGCATTATGTAACATTATATAATCTAATTAAATAAAAAAATATTGATTATCAAACATTATATATATATATATATATATATATATATATATATATATATATATATATATATATATATATATGTATATGTATATATATATATATGTGACCCTGTACCACAAAAGCAGTCTTAAGTAGCACAGGGATATTTGTAGCAATAACCAAAAATACATTGTATGGGTCAAAATTATCGATTTTTCTTTTATGCCAAAAATCATTAGGATGTTAAGTAAAGATCATGTTCCATAAAGATATTTTGTAAATTTCCTACCGTAAATATATCAAAACTTAATTTTTGATAAGTAATATGTAATTGCTAAGGACCTCAATATTTTGATCAATATTGAGATTTTTTGCACCCTCGGATTCCAGATTTTCAAATAGCTGTATCTTGGCATTACAATATATGCATTATGTTATTATTATTATTATTGTTATTATTGTTATTGTTGTCATTGTTTAATCATAGCAAGCAGTTCATATAGATTTTCAGTTACAATTGTACCATACAAGCTTCATGCGAATATTCAAAACCTTTGCTCTGATACTGCCTCACTTCCTGTTTTGTGTCTTCACTTGCACTTTCATTATGGTTTTTCTGAAGCATTGTGTAAAAATGACAATAATATTGCTTATCGCAATTATTTCTGGGGAAATATTTCGCACAACAAAGAGTTGTTATAATGACAGGCCTAGCCCTCAATGAAACAGAGAATCTACTAAGCCAGTTATATAAACCTTGCAACAAGCAAAACAGTATGTTATAGAAAACCACAGAAACCAAAAAAACTGCCCTTTTTTACATAAGTACTAATCAAAATTAATTATATAGCATATAATCCTCCCTATGGATTTTGTATTTAGTCACCAAAAGTTCATTTTATTTTAGAGCATTCTCTACTTTCCTTAGCTTTAGACAGCAGGCAGTGAAAGGGAACTATGTGGTTGGGTGAGACAAAAGAGGGGCAATGAGATGAAGATCAGACTCAAACCTGAGTCACCCAAACAGGATGGGAACACTAAAGACTTATTACACAAGCAACTAAATTACCTTGTCAGGTTTCTCCTCGATGACATCTGGACTGCAGAACATCTCAGCCAGTGCCACACGGAGTAAGGAATCAAACAGAGGAACTGCTAGTTCAGAATTCACAACTCCAGATCGAGAGAGTTGATCCCGGACCTCACACAGCGTTTCCTCCACAGACTGCAGCTATGGGATAGAGCGTGGGAAAATTACACTCTTCGAGAATGAGAACAGGACATAGTCACTCACTTCAAAACGGCAACCAATAGCTCTGTTCCAAAACCTAGCGTGCCTACACTGAAAACATTTTCAGGCATCATGTAAGGCACCTAATGCAACATCATATTTCTCCCTTATTAAGAAAAATCATTGCCTTAAATCTAATAATACTGATAACTATTACTGAATTTACTGTATTTTAAATTGATTTTTTTATGCTTAAGCCTAAAGTGTACTTCGGTTTTAACAAGTATGGTTAAGTATGCATAGCCAGATTTTACTTTGTAGGCTGAGCTTGCACAATCTCCTTTTTTTTGTTGTTGCATTAATTACTTTGTCCACAAGGTGGCAACACTGAGTGGGATGTTGTTACTCAGTCGAAAAAAAAATAAATGAGATGGAACAACAACAAACTACTAAAGTCGCAGCAACAACAACAACCACGATCAGTGTTTAGAGATACCCACAACTGTAAAACAAGAACAAAATCATGTTTTATAGATCAAAACTTCTGGACGGAATTAGCGCAGCCACTGGATAAGGATGAAATGTGTCGAGCGTTTGTGCACGCTTAGGGTTGCCAACTTCAGAAAAGGAAAATAAGGGACAATCGTAGTTTTTCACAGAAAAATAAGGGACAGAATAAAGGACACATGCCTATTTTATAAATATTTTTTATTTTTAATGTTTTTTAATGGAGTCTCTTATCAAGGCTGTATTTATTCGATAAAAAAAATACAGAATTTTTTTTAATATTGTCAAATATTATTGCAATTTCTAATATTGGTTTCCTATCTTAATATACTTTATATGATTTCTGAAGGATCATGTGACACTGAAGACTGGAGTAATGATGCTGAATATTCAGTGCTGCATCACAGAAATAAATTATATTTTAAATTATGTTAAAATAGAAAACTGTTATTAAATTGCAATAATTTTTCACAAAATGTATTTTTTTCTGTATTTTTGATCAAATAAATGCAGTCTTGATGAGCATAAGAAACTTCATTAAAAAACATTTTTAAAAATCTGACTGATCCCAAACTTTTGAATGTGTGTGTGTGTGTGTGTGTGTGTGTAAGTATACAGTAGGCCTACTACAGTATAAAATGCATATTTTTCAATTAAAGAGAACTTATAGAATTAATACGGGCTGCTTTTGGTGCTTGTTTTAAGAATGAGATTCAAGGTTAAGAATACACATAAAATGTAAATTGTTTTATCTATTTAACAACATTACCTACAATAGAGAAAGATGACTTCCCTTATTGATCACATTTTTGCTCAGGTAAAATGCATGTTTTCTTGAGTGGCTGGATGTTGGACTCACGAAAAATAATCATGTTGTTCGCATTCACCCAAACTGATTTACTGAAGGCGAAACGTGGACGTTAAAAAAATTAGAGTTCCGCTCACTGTGAAGCGGGTGCGACCAGAAGAATGATTCATTCTCAGTTTAGAGTTTGTTATTCGTATGGTCTAGGTTGTCATACGGAATATGCCTTAAATACGGGACGATTCCATATTATACGGAACGGTTGGCAACCCAATGTATGCTATCAAATAGAGTATACTTTGAAAGGCTATGCATTCGGCTGTATGAATACACAAAGCGTTCTCGTCAAATCTGAAGTATACATTGGGCTTTAGGTAGGGTGACCAAACGTCCTCTTTTTCCCCAGACGTGTCCTGGCCGGGATTTCTAAATTGCCTAAAATGTCTGTTTTTTTACTTCGTTTTCGTTCTGTTTTCATACTTGATGAAGGTAGTGACTGAAAAATTGTTTGACCAATAGCATACAGGCATTGTACATAATTAACCAGTTGTGGCATGCGAGAAAGTGGGATCTACAGAGAATGGTCAAAGCAATGCAAATACATGCACATATGTATGAAGACTGTACAGAGCATGTCAATAGAAATACAAAGCCAAAACCCGGACATTTTAGGCAATTTAGACATCTCCAGGACAAAGAGGACGTATGGTTCACATACTTTACGGTTCTGTGTTGTTAGCTTAGTAGTACTGAAATCAATTGCCTCCTGTGCATTTAATTTGAGTAGTGACCTGTTCACACGGGGAATTAGCGCAGCCACTGGATAAGGATGAAATGTGTCGAGCGTTTGTGCACGCTTAGGGTTGCCAACTTCAGAAAAGGAAAATAAGGGACAATCGTGGTTTTTCACAGAAAAATAAGGGACAGAATAAAGGACACATGCCTATTTTATAAATATTTTTGATTTTTAATGTTTTTTAATGGAGTCTCTTATCAAGGCTGTATTTATTCGATAAAAAAAATACAGAATTTTTTTTAATATTGTCAAATATTATTGCAATTTCTAATATTGGTTTCCTATCTTAATATACTTTATATGATTTCTGAAGGATCATGTGACACTGAAGACTGGAGTAATGATGCTGAATATTCAGTGCTGCATCACAGAAATAAATTATATTTTAAATTATGTTAAAATAGAAAACTGTTATTAAATTGCAATAATTTTTCACAAAATGTATTTTTTTCTGTATTTTTGATCAAATAAATGCAGTCTTGATGAGCATAAGAAACTTCATTAAAAAACATTTTTTAAAATCTGACTGATCCCAAACTTTTGAATGTGTGTGTGTGTGTGTGTGTGTGTGTAAGTATACAGTAGGCCTACTACAGTATAAAATGCATATTTTTCAATTAAAGAGAACTTATAGAATTAATACGGGCTGCTTTTGGTGCTTGTTTTAAGAATGAGATTCAAGGTTAAGAATACACATAAAATGTAAATTGTTTTATCTATTTAACAACATTACCTACAATAGAGAAAGATGACTTCCCTTATTGATCACATTTTTGCTCAGGTAAAATGCATGTTTTCTTGAGTGGCTGGATGTTGGACTCACGAAAAATAATCATGTTGTTCGCATTCACCCAAACTGATTTACTGAAGGCGAAACGTGGACGTTAAAAAAATTAGAGTTCCGCTCACTGTGAAGCGGGTGCGACCAGAAGAATGATTCATTCTCAGTTTAGAGTTTGTTATTCGTATGGTCTAGGTTGTCATACGGAATATGCCTTAAATACGGGACGATTCCATATTATACGGAACGGTTGGCAACCCAATGTATGCTATCAAATAGAGTATACTTTGAAAGGCTATGCATTCGGCTGTATGAATACACAAAGCGTTCTCGTCAAATCTGAAGTATACATTGGGCTTTAGGTAGGGTGACCAAACGTCCTCTTTTTCCCCAGACGTGTCCTGGCCGGGATTTCTAAATTGCCTAAAATGTCTGTTTTTTTACTTCGTTTTCGTTCTGTTTTCATACTTGATGAAGGTAGTGACTGAAAAATTGTTTGACCAATAGCATACAGGCATTGTACATAATTAACCAGTTGTGGCATGCGAGAAAGTGGGATCTACAGAGAATGGTCAAAGCAATGCAAATACATGCACATATGTATGAAGACTGTACAGAGCATGTCAATAGAAATACAAAGCCAAAACCCGGACATTTTAGGCAATTTAGACATCTCCAGGACAAAGAGGACGTATGGTTCACATACTTTACGGTTCTGTGTTGTTAGCTTAGTAGTACTGAAATCAATTGCCTCCTGTGCATTTAATTTGAGTAGTGACCTGTTCACACGGGACTCATTCCATCCCCTTATAAGGCAGCTCACTAGAGTTTGAAACAGAGCTAGTATGCGTGTCCACTGTACCTGAAAGGATAGGTCTGGTTCAAGTCTCTGTAGGGCTGAATTGGCACTGTGGAGGCAGATTGCCAAAAGTGCCTCCAGCAGTCGGATGCTCTGGAGAGGCCATTCCTCTTCAAGCCTGTGTGTTGGGTCACTTGACTTGCTCTCGACCTGAGAGGGGCTGAAAGTGTCGTGCTGGTGGGATTTCTCTGTACCAGCGGCTGTCGCTATATTATCAAACTGTCCTGCAAGAACTTGAGTGGGAGAGTCTACATGAGATGGACTGCTTTTGCCCTTACTCTCTTTCTTTTTCTTAAATTTACAGTCTTTGTTTTTAGACGTGAGTTTCTGGATCACCATTGTCATTAGACGCGAACAGACATCTAGACCTCCCAGTCTGAAGAACTGCCTTTGGAATACTGGACTGGCCATGTACACCCAACGGCATACTGACCAAACATCGGCAGCCCTCCTTATCTGTTCTTTAGAGGGAAGAGCAACACTGTCTGGGGAAAGGCAGGGCAGTCGTCCACCCAATGGTTCACTAGCTGTACTATCATAGCCTGAGGTGTCTTCAGAGTCATTTGCAGAGTCTCTGTCAGAGTCTGCCTCCTTGCTTACACATAAGAAGGCTACACACAGAAAAAGGTTGATCGTATTCAAATGCACCTCACCTCGGTTACGCGCTACTGCAGAGAATGCACTTTTGCCCTTTGGGTGAGGGCATGCCTCTTTCAGGCCTTCATAAAACTTAGTGAGGCTCTGAGGTCCATCACCAGCCCCACGTGAATTCAGTTCCTCTACAAGCCCAAGAACAGCTTCCCTCTCCTGAGCTTCCGCTCTTTCTAGCTCATGCACAGCAGATTCCGTGTGATGGTGCCACGCATTCAAGATAAGTGTCTCGAACGCTTTCAGTGCCCACGGACGAGTGCAGTCCAAGTAGATCAACTCTGTGATTTGGTTCAGTCCATTACAACTCAGGAACAGGTCCCGTACCACCCGGCTGAATTGGAAGACAAAATCAGAAGTTATAAATTGGAATCTTGGATTATTTTAAATGCTATTTTAGGGGGCTTTCACACTAGCACTTTAGTTCAAAACAGAGCTTGATTTGCATGAAAAATAGTTAATTTGAAAGCTTTCATGCAGACCTGGGAGTGAACCGCAGTATTGAACCAGAAACTACCTGTAGGATTGTGTTCAGTTGCAATGGAAATTAGTGACACAGGTGACAATTTACCTTGGATACAAGTGAGAGTGAGCATGCAGTGTAATCATGCAGAGTGAGTGCAATCTGAGCAGCAAATGAATGGCTCACAATCAGCTGTCTCCTCCAAAGAGACTGTTTGAAAGTAGCAGAATGGTGTCTTCATGCGACACACATACAGTAGACGCAAGCATTGCTCATTCTGCTGTACATATTAACACCTAATTAATAAAAAAAAATATTGACCCAAGTTGTGTTTTCGATCATGCGGAGTACATGTTTGTGATGGCATAAGAACTCAAATGCACCAGTGTTCTACAGAATCAAGTCAGTCTGAAACCAGACAATCCCTGCAGGAGGTGCCAGGAACAATCTCACTCAGATTCGGACTGCAGTAAACATGCCCAGTGTGAAAGCCCCCTTAAAGAATCTAAACAACAGTGAATTGGAGGGAAAAGGAAGATAAAAAAACATGGTCATACCTTGACTTCAGCAAAGCAGGCAGAGCTTGAAGATAAACCAGTAGTACCTCAACCGGGAGGCAATGGGTATGGTAACTGCAGACTTGGCTACACGTAGTTGACACACCAAGTTGCTGGGCATGATGGGTTAGTTCCACACCCCGCTGAAGCACTGGATTAAAAATATGAGTGTAGAGTTGCCATTGCACTACTGCATTGCCTCGTAAAGTCAACTGGCATACATGACTGGCAATTTGTTGACTCAAATGCCAGTCTTCCCCAAACACAATTTCTTGATAGGCCTCTAAAGCATCCCACTTCCATAGCATGTCTTCAGCTCCTCCACTGGGCAGGATACCTTGGGAACGATAAGAGGGAGATGGGGACATGGATATGTTTGATTCTTTCTTAGGTCCATAGCCCTGCAGAGTCTCTTCAAGGCCAGGTAACTGGCTACTATCCAAAGTGCAAATGTTGCAGGAGGCAAGCTTGGCCTTTTCGGAAGGTTGACCACCTCCAAGCTGTTCTAAGACTAGTCTACTAAGGACACTCAACACATGGGACTGGTAGCTCCGAAGTCCTGGAGCCTGAAATGCCTGGAGCATTGGTACAATTACAGACCTCGGGTCCATGCAGCAACAGATGCCAGCAGCTTGCACTCCAGCCAGTACCTGCAGCACAGCAGGACCTGATGGTGACAAGCGCTGGAAAAGACGCAAGCATTGGTGGGCACAAGCTGCAAGGCAACAACAGCGTTCGGGGTACCGCACTTCTCCGTCATGACCCTCTGAGATCTCCTCAAAAGGATTACATCGGGCTGCTTGCTTGAAAGCGGATACCGGTAGTCCTGAGAGGTCACGGTGATGGTGCAAAAAGTGGGAGTATTCGCAGCGACGGTGTCGACGACGTGCACAAACAGACTGGTGTAGCTGCTCTGACTTGGCCCTCTTGACAGCACTGATTATCTTAAGTACATCAGCTATTAGACAACGCAGATGCTCTGATGCCTCATTGCCGACTTCTGAATCTCGAGCTTCTGCTAAGGCCTCAAGGCGCAGAGCTGTTGCCTCAAAGAGCTCCAAGCCACGGTGTTGGACAAATTCATGAACTAACTCAAGAGACTGACTGAAAAAGAAAGGGTTGGGAGCAGAGGCCTGTAAGCAACCTAGTAGTAGCTGCAGGACACCCTCCAAGAGTTCAGGCAGTAGCAAGGCCCGGTGACGGTACCTTGAAAAGGAAAAATCTTCTTGTATCTCCTGCAGAGTCTTCTTTGGCCTTGGAGCAAAAGGGTCAGCTTGCCTTTCTAAACAGGTACGAATCTTTAAAGTTGCTCTGAGGAGGTCAGTCAAGCTTCGACGCAGATTATCAGGCAGTGTCTCATTTTGACCCACATCTACAAACATCAAGTGCAGAATGGTGCGTAAAAGCATCCTTTGAACAAGTGCAATTGGCTCCTCAGTCCAGCCTCCAGCTAGTTCATCGATCCCACCTCCACCACCACCACCACTGGGACCACAGCAGTCACCAAACTCTGTGAGTATCTCTGTGAGCGTGGGAACAACGCTGACCGCCAAGCCTGGGTTATGATTGATGGTCATGTCGAATTTGCAGACCTTTTCAAGAAGAGAAAGTAGAACATAGCAAAGGTCAAAAGGCGAGTTCTCCATGCGGTTGAAGATGGAGAGAGTAGTGGGGTCTGTTAGCATGTTAGGATCTAGAGTGTGAGATCCAAACAGTCTCATGTGAGGTTGGGAAGGCTCAATGGTGCCCATGGCATCGAGAGTGGGATGTTGCGATGCTGGCTGTGATGGATTGTTGGACTGATGGAGCTGGCAACTAACACGAATGGCCGAACTGTGAAATCGGCGATGTTTGCTCCCAGTATTTGTGGTCTTATCATCCGAGTTGGCTTCAGAATCTGATGTGGAAAGCTGAGATTTGCGTGCATCCCTCACAGAGTATCGCTGAGCTGTCCTTCGTGAACGACGTGACTTCCAGGAGCCAGATAAACGCTTCCCAGAGTTCTGCACATCACATCTATCTTGCCCCGCCTTTTGAGGGATGGTCCTTCCCTCTTGGCATAGAAATACCTCTAGTAGTGAATGCAGGGTGAAATCTAAAGTAAAAAAGCAGAGTAGGAAAGGAAAAAGTTTAAAGGATTATCCTGACTAGCATCAACTGGTTTAATCTGGTTTCATTAGCAAGTCATGATGACCTCGAGAGGTCTGTTTACAACACAATTACGGGAACTAATAACTCAACAATGTGGAAAGCAGCTGCTAGAAAAGATTAGCATGCCTGCACTAAATATCTTAGGTCTCAAGCTCAATGAAAAGTCTTATCCTTTTCATCATCTTTTAACCGTACTGTTTCATAATTCAAGCCATCTCATGGTTTCACTTACTGTTCATGCAGGCATCTACTTAAAAATGCATGGCATCCTGGCAAGATCACCGCCATCATATGCGTTATAAAACAAATCGTGTAGAAGTATATCATCTTTCCAACTGAATGCAATGCCAGGATGTCATTAAAAATTAGAACATAATTATTTAATTCAAGGCTCAAGGTGGGTTAGAGTATACATCTAGTGCATTCTCAAAATGAAGAATGTTAATAGCATGCATTATTAGGGGCTTTATAAAATGAAGTGACTCACCTGGGGCTTTTTCCTCCTGAACAGGAATCTTCCAGACCAGAGGTAGCAGAGACAACAAAAGTGTAAGTAGCTCTTCCCGACAGGTCAACTCCTAAGTAAAAGGTTAGAGGTTAATTCAGGATTTGAACGGAATTCTTCACTCAATCCATCCAAATCAGTCTCCTTGTGTTGATGACCACCTAGAAGCAGATTTCTTTTCTAACTTCTGCTTCATAGTGCCCTGCCTCTCTTGGCCGAGTTATAAAACAAATCGTGTAGAAGTATATCATCTTTCCAACTGAATGCAATGCCAGGATGTCATTAAAAATTAGAACATAATTATTTAATTCAAGGCTCAAGGTGGGTTAGAGTATACATCTAGTGCATTCTCAAAATTAAGAATGTTAATAGCATGCATTATTAGGGGCTTTATAAAATGAAGTGACTCACCTGGGGCTTTTTCCTCCTGAACAGGAATCTTCCAGACCAGAGGTAGCAGAGACAACAAAAGTGTAAGTAGCTCTTCCCGACAGGTCAACTCCTAAGTAAAAGGTTAGAGGTTAATTCAGGATTTGAACTGAATTCTTCACTCAATCCATCCAAATCAGTCTCCTTGTGTTGATGACCACCTAGAAGCAGATTTCTTTTCTAACTTCTGCTTCATAGTGCCCTGCCTCTCTTGGCAAGCTAGTTTCTAGAGCTACGCAAAAGATGGAAAGTTGCAGACAACAAAAACTATCCAATGGTTTTCTTCCAACTGCTTAAGACAAATACCGGTTTTGCTAGACATGAGGTACGACAGCGAGCCTCTAAATACTGGCTCCACCCTGAGCAAGATAGCATTCCTCACAAGGAGAAGCGAAAGCACCCTGACACGTGTGAATTCAAACCACATACAGGAGGCTGCGTGCCACTGTGCTGTGTGACCTCAAGTAAACAAGCATCTGGGTGCATACTCATAAGCTAATTAGCAAAGTGGCTAGGGATCCATATTGACCCACCACTATGCAAACACACAGGCGATTGATGTTGTGTTGAGAGATAGTTAAGCAGTGCTGAGTTCAGAGAAAAGGCCCATGTCTTGTGAGTAAGAACCACTCCAGACATGATTCATAAGAACTCTCACTTCAAAGAGACAGAATGAAGTAGAGGCGGCAGAAAGGGGTCTGAAGAAAAACACAGGATCAAATAAACCCCATGTTATTTCCTTCGACATCATGTGAATAAATTCTGTTGATAAACAACACAGAAAATAATTTTGACTTACCTGTAATTAAAAAAAAAAGATTTAAATAATAAAATAATACAAAATAGTAATGCACTAACAAAGGATGTGCATGGTGCCAGGCAATATTAATATATTGAAAAGCACAGTTTCAAAAGTATAGCCCCAGTCATTTAAGATGTCATAACTGCATTGCTAGGACGTACATCTTTGCATAATGCGCAAAAGGAAAGCAAAGGAACCGTTTACATGGAGCAAACTTTACTCACAGGAACAACCCTAATAACTAATAACCAGAAGTTCATCTGCCAAACAAATTAGTTCCACCTCAAAAACACCAATTTGGAATCACCATAAATAGACTACTGATTTTAAGAAATGTTATTACTGCATACTGTGTCTAAACCAGTGTTATTTTAATATTGTTGGGATAATATTTTTGTTAATATTTTGAAATCAATTCTTTATTTTTATATATTTTTTTTTATTCATTCGGTTGTGTTTTTGTCATTATTCTTCTTCTTTTAAAATGTCTATATAGCTTACACTTATACTTAGCTTATACTTTTTTATTTTAGTTTTAGTTATTTTAGTACATCAAGTTTAACTAAATGTAAATGAGAAATTAAATATGCTGAAATAAAATGTTAAGGTTTTCAAATATATTTTATTTCAGGTAAAGTTTATTTTCAAGTAACAATTTTTTCAATGGTTTTAGTTTGTTTTAGTCAACTATAGAAACCCTTTTCTACATGTAATATAAAACATTTGCAAACATGCAAAACAATAACGCTCACTAACTAGAGTCTTTCAGTTTTGCTATGCCACATCGTGTAGCTCACTTGCAGTGTCAACAGAGACATGGGTGTCTGTATTTAGGGGCTTCACTGCTCTAAGCAAAGACTTTCTTTCTCCTTCCTCATGTCTGCAAGGAAAGACCAAGAAAGAAACAGCAAGAGTATATTCCCAGGTTCCATTCATTAAGTTTGTAAGCAGGCTGAGGTCCATAGAAAAGACATTACAGCATGAACACAGATCCAACATTAAGCTTCACTAATGATCTTTTTTTTTTCATATAGAACTGAAAACAATATATACATATAGGCAATACATCAGATTTTGATGGATGGACGCTTAAGTAAAACTTAAGTCAATGCATAAAGAAAGTACTTTAAAGGTCTACTGTATGCAGTATTTATGTGAATGCATGAAGCATTCAGGACGGCTATTCAGCTCTGTTGTGACTGTGACATATCAACATGCTATTTCTGAACAATGCCAGCATTTGGACTGGAATTCATTCCCTAAATAACACGTCCTTTGAGTTTGACTAATACATTTCCATGACTTGTCCAGGAATTAACCAGTCATTTCTTCCAGAGATGAGCCCGACAGGAAAATAAAAACAGACACATTCTGCATTGTATTTTTCCATTACGTTTTTCCATACACGTCAATCATGTGTGCAATTAACGCAATCTAATATGTGTATTGCTTTATCCCTGTAAAGCCTAACATGAAATCTCTCATCTTTTTTTTAATGGAACAGTTTATTGAACCTTTGGACAAACACTCAGTTAAGCATTGAACAGCCTGTTCATCATCATTGAACAGCACTGATAAAAGTTTTTGTTTACATTGTGTGTGTGTACTGTGTGTATTTATTATGTATATATAAAGACAAAAACATACAGCATATATTTTGAAAATATTTAATGTATTTAAATGTATACATTTATATTCATATAAATTATATCATATATATAAATATATTTAATATATAAACATAACGTTTTTCTTATATATACATGCATGTGTGTGTATTTATATATACATAATAAATATACACAGTACACACACATGTATTATGAAAACAAAAACTTTTATTTTGGATGCGATTAATCGTATGACAGCACTATAAAAAATATAAAAATTATTCTTATGTTTATTTTTTAAAAATCAGTAAAATACTAAAAAAAACTTTCACTCGCAAAAAAAGTCTAAATTATCACTCAGACGACAGAAGACATGCAGTAGATTCTGTGCAACAGGTTTTTCAGTAAAGTTCTGATCATGTTGATCATCTAGATGCTTTAGTAGGCTTTAAGGTTCATTTTAAGGTTAAAATATCTTCAAATGAAGCTTCTCTGACTGACCTGGTCAATGACAGAGTCCAGGGTGCTGAGGAGCAGGAACCCGCGTCCCCGCACCAGATACTCTCCCAGCGCCACCATGTGACTCTCCTCCTCGTCCTCGGCCCGCTGGGCCACCGCACTACACAACTGGTGCACATCCGTCAGGAACTCCCGTGCCAGGGTGTTACTGGCCCCACTCATGTCCGAGCTGATGGAGGAGAGAAAACCAGAGCATGAATACATGTAAATCACCTGCTGGAACCTGCAACAGCTCTGCTTTAGTTTCATATACATTGCAGTTCTCTTTTTGTATAAATTAACAAGAAACTAAAAACAAGTGAAACTGCTCAGTTGGTTTCATGTCCCATAAATTCTTCTATATAAATGGATTTAAATACAAGAAAATCTGCTATTGTTATAATCTAGTATGCGTCTACTGTTTTTATGTTTATATGTAATTAATTATGCAGTCTCAGGGGTCCAGACAAAAAAATCGAGTAAGGAGCCATTGGCTCCTATAAGGAAAACATTTGGCGCCAAATTATTTTTTTAGGTGCCACAGAATAAACGTGATTTATTTTATTTATTTTTTTACATTTTAAAATTCAATCATACTGTCATGTGTTTATGTCTCATCTTTTCTTGATTTATCAGCATTTTAATCCATCTTGTAGATGACCTGGGAACTAAGGTTCACTTAATGTTGGAACTACCGCATTGACCCGAATATAAGACGATGTTTTTTTCTTGGAAATACATCTGAAAAAATGCAGTCGTCTTAAATTCAGGGTCTAGACTTTGACATGTCAATAATACACCCACAACAATAGGTGGCGCCAAATACGCATAAAACAAGTGTGCCATGAAATACGTAAATGCGTGTTGTAAAGATCGCGACCAAACTCCCTTTGTGATTTTAAAACGTAAAACAGTACCCAGATTTGAAGACTACAGTAAGATTTAACTTCTACTGTTAATAAGATTTTGGTAGGCTACTATTAGATGGATAGCCTAAATGTCCTAATTCAGATGGGCTACCTGTTTTTTTAGTTGTTTTATGGTATATCAAAAAGTGTATATTTTTTTAATGTGATTGTTGGTACAGTTTACCAGTTTTTACCATACTTTCAAAACAAAAATTAAAATAGGACAAATATGCAATATGAAAATAATTGAAGACAAAATGTGTTTTACGGACAAAAAATAAGATTTGGTTTTTAAAAAGACTTTTTCAAAACGGTACATCTGGAAAAAGGGGGGTCGTCTTATATTCGGGCCAATACGGTAAATGTCTTTTCCAACTTGAAATATACAGTCACAAATAATTGCTCATTACACAGAATCTGTACCAGTATCCACGGACCATAAGCATCACTTGGCCACTGAGTGTAGTTTGGGCTCCTTCTCAATGCATCCTATAAATGTTGTCATATGTCTTTCACACATCCAGTCTGTTTTTCTTCATTAGTAAAATGCAATTTTATAGGAGTTGAATCATGTAGACGACAGGTTTAGTATAAATATTAATATGCAGTAGACTTGTGCAGGTATTCGGTAATGCGATATATCACGGTAATGAATATGCACGATATTGTTATCGTGGGCACTTCTAAATACCATGAATAATTATATATTACAAATTATTCAGAATTTTGAATGCATTTTAAGAATTTAATAAGCACAGTTTCACTCTCTGACAGCAGATATATATATATATATATATATATATAATAAATAATAATAATAATAATAATAATTCATTTAAATGCAGCCGTTA